ATTGGAATCTGGTTTATTAAACGCTTCAATTATTCGAATCGGCTATTTTGAATTAGAAAATGGATTGCGAAATGAAAATTACATACTAAAGATTACTTATTTCTTCTTTATTTATTCCCCTATTATTACGATTCCCAAGAGGCTGATAGTGTTTTGCTACTTCCGACGCCCTCAACTAACACATATATGTTTTCAGAATATTTCTTTATCGTATCGTAATTTTTATTCTTAAAACTATTTTTGAAATAGGTGTGTAGTAGATTGAACTTGACTTACCGTTGGTTTCTAAGGCCAAAATCACCGTTTAAAAACATATTGTTATGTCTGTTTTGTCAAAGATAATGACAGGGATGACGATATGTTTTATATGAAGATTTTGAGATCACAAACCCACGGTTAGGGTTATAATTAAAGTTTCACGTGAAAGCACTATCCTTCAAAATACGTGAAGAACTGTTGTCCCTTCATCATCTTAGACCAAAATACTTCAATTTTTATTTACAAGAAATTCCCGCATTTTCTTCAAACAACAAACCATTCTCAGTATTAAATTGCCAACTGAACTTTCTTTCGTTATAATTTTGGTCGCTTGTCTTTTGTTTTTTTTTTACATTTTAAAACGCGTCGATGAATTAAAATAAAAACAGCGAGAGACTTATTTGTCCGCGGCAGCGTGATCCGGATGATATTTTCGCTTCCAGTGTCGAGCATGGTCGCTCCAGTTTCAGAATCACTTCGGAAATGGATTACGCCTCGCTACCCATAGATCCGACAACCTCACAATACCTATTGACACCGCTCGCCACCGACCTTTTTATATATAATATATATTTCATCTAAATCAGGGCAGGGAAGATAATCTGTTAAAGTGGTTTAAATCCTAAATGTGTTCTATCGGTTTTATAGAACCATATTTGTTAAGGTTTGAGAAATATTTATTTGTTTACCGTAGGTTTCTGATACCAAAACCTCTGTAGAAAACATATCGTCATCCTTGTCAATATCTCTGACAAAGAGAGATAACAATATATTTTAAACCGTGATTTCGTTCTCCGAATCCCACGATTAAAGTGATTCTTACTTACTATTTTCTTAAATATCTTTTAAAGCAGCAATAATGCTCAAGAAGGGTGTTAAAACCTTTGCGAAACGAATGTGCATGTAAGAGTAGATAATGTGTAAGGGGCGAAAGAGGTATGCCAGGAGCGTGCCAAATTTTAGTATACAATCTCTGTCTACTGGGTAAGGGCCGTAGGTTGTCTGTTAAAAAAATGGGTTGTAGATTCATTTAAAGCAATACCAGTTTAACAGTGGTAGAGCCCCCTTTAACATCTTCGCACGAAATGGCCCGGCTCGCCCGGTGAAATACCACGACCATACAGAAGACAGGCGTGAAGTGGAAGTAATTCCACATTTCGTCTAATGAGATTACGTCCCGGAGGCCTAATTTAGTCCTCTTTCCCTTCCTACCCTTTTTCTTATAAGGAAAGGATGGGAAGTGGAAGAAGTGGAAGTGGATATTTTCTTTCTGTGCATCCTCTCCTCCGTCGATTAAAGGTAGGCAACGCATATGACATTTTTATCTGATCCTGATGCTTTTTGTAACTTTTTTACAAGTGCAGATTGGTAGCGAAAATTAAAAGTATATTACTCTAGCGAGAAGCGCGCTCTGGGAAGTCCGGCGACGAGGTTTGCGTCACCCGAGGTCGCCGTTTGCTGTTCCGCCTCACGGGCACACTGCCTGTGTTGTGCCTGACTTGTGTAGAATTTTATATTGTGAGAACATATAAACTAAGATCTATACCATTCAAGATATACAGACATTGTGTTATAACAATTTTTTGCGTCTTTGTTATGGTTTCTGTGTCCAGCTGTAACCAAATTATTCTTAGGTCTAGAGTACTTCAAAATATGTATACGTGGGTATGATTGGGCTGTTTTATTTTGTCTTATACTACCCGCGACTCCGTCCGCGCGGTTTTAAAAAAAGTAAATTAGCCTATGTGTTCTTCCAGACTACGTTTTACATCTATGCCAAATTTTAGCGCTATCCATGCAGCTGTTGTGGAGATACCTTCAAACAGACCATCCACCATCTAAATATTGACATTTCTAATATTAATAAGATGAGGAATTAAAAAAAAATCTTTACAAAATTTTCAATATTATTTACATCTCTTAGATTTAGTTGAATGTTTAAAAAAAAACAATTGACTTGGCTGGGAATCGAAATTAAGACTCAAAGTATAAATCTGTTACTTCTAATACGCTGCGTTATCGTCTCTCAGATGACAGAACAATAACATATTTATTTAAATATACAATAACAAGAACTTTCCCATTTACCTTGATTGTTTAGAAATGACGCGTACTCATTATAAAACATAAACAAAGCTGTAACTTATATTCATCATCAGCTCACTATACGTCCCCACTGAAGGGCTCGGAGCCTACCCTTTGTTGGTTGGTTGACTTCACACATATCTTTTATTACTTCACAGACTGCATTCCAGAACATATGCAGGTTACATCACGATGTTTTCCTTACCGTAAGAACGTCGGATAAATGTACATATGTAAATCGAAAAATACATTGGTACATGGCGTGATTCGAACCCAGGATCTGCAGAATACAAGTCAAGTGCTGTAACCACTGAGCCACCGACTCTCTATTGTCTTTATGTTTTATATTATTACGATTATCTTATTTATATATTTTCAATGTTAATCAACATAAAGGATTGAATTTGCACTTTTTTACTGCGACATCCCAAAGGACGTTACCTCTTGGCATAATTTTAAGTTAGTCCAAACTTAGCATACGTACTTAAGTATATTTTCTGAACAAGTAAGTTATCGTTCACAGCTGTATATGGTTAATTAACACAGATATTTGCTTAACTATTTCACCGGAAATCGAATCTTGCTTCCTGGAACATAGTTAAGTTAGAGTACAGTTATATCCAGTTTTCTTTATTGATAATAGATGGCGCCACCAGTCATTGAAACGGTGTTCTTAAACCGTTCTTTTTTATATAATAATTTTAACACTTTTAACTTTAATTTAAATAAATCTCTATGAAATGTAATATTTTAATTCTTCTATTGCATTATAATAATATATTTAAATGTGTTATTCGAATATTCGGAATGAATGCATAGTTTTATTCCTTTTCATGTTTACAAGCTGTTTGATTATTTATTAAGATTCCGAACGAAAATAATTGACAATACATTGCTAGTACTTAAAATTATAATTATAAATAAAATTATATAAAAACGTTAGGTTGAACATCAGTTATGTAACGTCATCTGGTGTCGACGACCCAACAACTTTCCTCTGACATCTAACATGTTTCAATGATGTAAAGGTTTGAATTCTAAGAGTATTTTACGATATGCGATATCTTATGAGTGCAAAAAGTAACCTAATCGCTAGTTCATACTCTGTAAACTACACAAGTTTAGTTTTGTCTTAAAATTTAACATAAAATGTTAAAAATTGTTAATATAACATTCTAAACAATCGTAATATACCGCAATAACTCGAATACTGATTTTCCTCGTGTGACACATCTCGCCACAGACAGCAAAACTGCAATACTGATGTTATCATACTGGAGAAATGAATACTGCAACTTATTTAATTACACTATGTACATATAGAAACTTTTTCAAAATAACAAATGACTAATCAGTACATTTATCAACCTTTGCTAAAAAAATTAAAAATAATTAAAAGAGTTTTTGGTTCAATTCATTATTGTAATAACAGATGGCGCTGTTGCCGTGAATTTAACAACCGCCAAATTATATAAAGCAACGTTTAAATTGTAAACAACTATTTTAAAAATGTTTTTATGTGGATGTTTTCGACGGTGTGAACTCAGGGTTATGACAATAAGTTGTAGTTCTTAGTTATTATAAAACTTTACCTTACCTGCTGTGTTCATAACACAAAGTCTCTCTCAATACATCCGTGATTTTTCTATGGTTTATTTGGTCAATTGACATAGATTATTTCTTATTTACCATGGGTTTTCTTCGCCAACTATTATTATTATCATTGTCCCTTTTATTGACTTTCAAAAGATAGAGATAACAATATTGTGTGCATTCGTTTCAGGAGTCTAAAACTCATCATTATCGCGCTGTATTTTTGTACCTTACTGGATATAGACCGAGTGGGTTTTTTCTTATAACGCTATTCTTAATAATGCAAAGTAGGTAGTAATTCGACATTCACGTATAGCTCGGCGGAGCTTGGGAGTCGTCATTACGCCGATGGTCAACCGGTTTGTGATCGCATCAGAAAAACAGCTACACCTCTACCATGAGAAACGAATCGTTAAATAATAACGATAAGTTATTAAACATTTACGTTCGAATATTCATCGTTAAAAGTTCTCATGGTACAGAATCAACTTCTGATTGTAGAGACAGACAAATTCAGTGTCAAAAATTAAACGACGCAAATTAAAACTACCGGGCTTGTCTTTTGCCTTAAAGTGGATTTCTAAGACCAAAATCCTTGTATAAAACATATTATCATCTTTGACAAAACAGAGTAAACAAAAATGTTTTAAATGGGGATTTTAGCCTCGGAAATCCAAGGTTAGTTGTTTCCGCCCTCAATAGAATTCAGTGGTAGCGTTTAGTTGATGAGCTAATTTACCTAATAAGTTACCTACTTATTCTTCTTTGACATAACAGTATTTCCGAACTGGTCCTGGTCATCATGTATCTGTGACCTGCTTCACAAGCTGCTACCACTTCATTGATTGTTGCTTACTTTGCACATAGGTACAAGAGGACGTACACAGCTGTTCTGATCTGGTTAGTTCTTACGAAATACGGTCACCGATTATATGATTTCAGAATTTAAATCGTTATTATTCATTTATATTTTGTTGTTTTCAATTTCCTATTTTTAATTACTTAAATAAAATAAAGAACATGTAATTTATTAATTTATTTCTTTGTTTGTTTTTTAGATGACTTTTCTTGGAACAAACATAACTAATCAAAACACGCAGTCGCAACACGTGGAATAAGGTCGATAAACAAAAAGTTAGAAAGCTGTGGGAACACCGAACCCGTTGCTTTGCCGCCGAATAGAGTTGGAGAAAGGTGGGCAGCGATACTCCGTCGCGTCGCAATTTTTGTTACTTTTTAAATGTAAGAGTACATCGTCAGGATATATTAAGCCAATTCAGTTACTATCACAAAGCAAATAATCGATACATGACAGCCGTTACACAACTTTTTTTTTTAGAAATTTTTAGTTTTGTGTAAATCGTGGTATTGAAACACTTTTTTTCTATTCTATTGTATACTAGCTGTCGCGCGCGACTTCGTTCGCGCGAGTTTAAAAGCAACACTTAATTATGTGTTGTGTGGCTTCCAGACTATGTTCTACATGTATACCAAATTTCAGCGAGATCCATACAGATGTTCTGGAGATACCTTCTAACAAATATCCATCTATCTATCTAAACATTCGCATTTATAATAGTTAAAATTAATATATGCAGGCACTCATTGAAAATATTGTACTTTTTCTTACTATTTCTTCAGGCTTACTTCTCTAGGGAATATCTCATGTGGTGAAAGAAGCAGCCCCTTAGGATGGTAACCCGGGGGTATTTCGCCCCAAGGGGTTGCTCAGGGCGGGTGGAGATATCGGGGTCGCGGCAGCACAAGTTACTCTCGTAGGCCTGTCCTAATTAGGGTAAGATTGAATTTATTTATTATTACCAATAGTAATTTTATCTATGTACATAATTATCTATATAAATATTTAGTTACTTTTGTACATTTTGATAAATCTTGTATATAAAATACTCGTGTCACAATATTAGTTACCATACTCCTACGAAACGGCCTCACTCAGACCTACTGAGATCTGAGAATCGGCTACTATATACCTATTCTTTAATCTCGCGCGGACGGAGTTGCGGGCGACAACTAGTAAATTTATAATAATTGATGTAGGTAAGAGAATCAAATATGTTTCAAAAGGATCTTAATAAAAGTAAGAAGTTCAATTTATTATGTACTGAAATTTTAATATTATAAATGTTAACTTCCAGAATCCCCTTTCGAATATTACAAGAGTATCGTAAAGCGCAGGTTCTCCGTGACATATTTATTTTAAGCCGAGGTACTTCGCTTGAGGTAGATAAAATGGAGGTCACAAATAACAGTTGATATAATATTATATAAAAATATAAACATTAGTACCTGAAAACAATTTACTCTTCGCTTGTAATTTCTATGCCGTTGTTAGATAGATGGGCTATCGTAGGGTTGGCGCATTTGAAGATCTTTGAATTTTTTCCTTATGTTTTTTAAATTGTTATATGTCTGTATTTTGCCGAAAACAACACCTTATTATATATAAGTGCTTGCGCCTATTTGCCTATGTAGGTCGTTTACGTTAGCCTAAATTAATTTATACCAAAAACATCTTAAATATTGCAGTTTGACTAAGATTTTTGCTCTGGGTACTAATTCAATTATAGTATATATTCCAAGAAGTGGTAATTAGATACGAAAAATTTATGAAAAAAAAATTCGAGCGCCCTTAATATTAAAAGTAAATATTTTGTATTATTCGCAATTGTTTTATTAGTTAAATGCGAATTTTTAGATGAATGGATGGATTGTCTTGATGAAATTTGGCTTAGATTTGTGCAGACGGAGTCGTTGGCGGCAGTTAGTTCTGACTAAAAAGAAGAAGTAAAATTATTTCCCAAATGAAATAAATAATGATGTCGAGAATTTTGGCAACCCTAGTAGGGAGGGTGAATGCAAGGGCGAGAGGTCGGAGGGTCGACGCAAGGGTACGCGCCGAGACCTAAGCTCTCAAGGGCCACTGACTATCTACGGAGCCACGCTACGTCAACCCAAAATTTATTTACCTTAAAAATTTATAAAACATTTCGTAAAATTTATCATTATTTACGTATTTTTTTCTTCACTTATTATGTAAAGTTAAATGTTTGAAATATCTTAAAAGTTTTCTTTTTATGTGTTATGTAGTTTAGTATTTACGTCACAATCAAGGTAGATTGAATACTAAGAAACTTAGTTCCATAATTTTGTTTTTAAGAAATATTCATCTAGAAGTGTAGTTGCAAAAGGCTATGTTTGCGTCTGTCTGTCTGTTTTCCTCATAACGTGGAGCTTCATCAGCATTTCGCAGCCGTTGCATCAGGCTAGGTGGCATAATGTCGGTGACACTACAGCGCTGCTATCATGTTTGTGACCAGAGAATTATGAAATTTAGCGTTAGAAGATAAACTTTAAATAGCGCCATCTGTTGGCAGACGAAAGAATTGTAATTTTTATAATAATCTACGAACTGTGTTTTATATGGTTTTATTTAGCTTGTTTTATCTGCAGCAAAGTATGTAAGTAACATGAAAATCTAAATCTTACCTGAAGGCTATTATTGCTTTTATCTAAATTAGTCCACACATGTTTAAATGTATAAATTTTATTTTTAGATAATGTTATAGTTTAATTCACAATACATATCGCTTGATACTCTAGTTATAAACACAATATCGAGATTCCGAGAAGGTAGGTATTATCTCAATGTTTGTGGATCGTAAAGAGCGCAGCGCGGAGGACGCGACTCGGGTGACACATCAACCATCGCCATTGCATGATTCATACCTACCGGCCTGCGCGGGCACAAGAATCTCTGACGTCACACGTCCGGGACTTATTGTCAACACCCGGAGAAATATCGAATACTTACCAAGGCCATGCATTCTCTCATAAGGCACACAAAATTCATATCCTTGGCATGCTATCTAAGTTACATTATAAATGCCAATGTTTAGATGGATGGATGGATGGATTGCTAGAACGGATCTTGATGAAATTTGGCATAGATGTAGAACATAATCTGGAAGAACACATAGGCTACTACTAGTCGCAGGCGACAGCTAGTGTTTTAATAAACGTGAAACAAATAGTAGGTCGCGAGTGACTAAGTACACGAAACCAATATAAGTGGATCACTCGTCTATGATAGAATGAGAAATGTCTTTTGCTGCACACAGTAGCTACATAAACTGGCGTAGAAAAATTAGCTAAAATCCGTGCACAAAATGGCGTTAAACAAAAACGTAATGACTTAGTTTGTATTCAATCCCATTTCATTTCGAATTTTGTGTTGAAAATGTGTATCTTAGAATATTTTAACACTGATTTAAATATAGTCAAATATATCGGCAGCAAACAAATATTCATCGTTCAGAATAGCAGCCCAGTTTGGCGCGCGCCAGTTCACGCTCGTTGCGTTCCGTTCCCCGACCGCAATGTTGTTTCAATATCTTTTGTATTCATAACCTCCGGCATTACAGCGCTCGGGTTCATGTGCCCGAGCAGAATTGGTTTCACAGCTTACGACCTTCTCAAAATTACATGAGTACTTAAAACATTAGAATTACATGCACATTATGAAGTATTTACATATATTTTTGCAGATATCTACCATTTTTTTTAATCCTATTCATGTTATAGATTTTCAATATATTTTACGATGTTCAGCAGTCACCGTCTAAAGCAAATGGCATCTTACTTCTTACGTATCTCCACAACAGCTAAAGGGATTAGGTTGAAATTAGGCATAGATGTAGAAAATAGTCTAGAATGGATAGTATATATTTTTTTTCAGCACGGACGGAATCGTTCGTAAAGTTCGTCTTTACTTTGGTTCTAATTTTCATGTTTTGTTTTTGTGAAATGCGAATAGAATTATTTTCTTTTTGTGTATTTAAACATAACATGAATATTTTTTGTTCACAGGTTTAGTAAATCATTTCTTGGTAGTTACACACTTACCATATTGTGGTTTTTAGGGTTCCGTACGACATAGGAAAAAAAAGGAACCCTTATAGGATCACTTTGTTGTCAGTACGTCTGTCTGTAAAGACCCTTTTTCCCAAAGACACGTGAAGGGATCAAGCTGGAATTTTTTTACTACTGAAACAGTTGTCCAAAACAGTGTAAATCAACGGCGAAAGATACATATTTTATTTCAAGGGTACTTTGCTGTCTACAACTGCAAGAAAAATGATTTGAAATGCAGTTAGTACTTCGAAAACAGGTGATTTGGGGTCGCAGGTTACTTTAAAATTTAAAAGTAATCAATTTCATAAATTCCTTTGATATCAAGTTTGTATGTAATATTGTTACATATCTCTATTTTTTTAATGAGACTGAAGTCAGTGGTAACTATCGACCTCAGAAAATACTGAATAATTTTGTTTCGTATCACAAAAAAATATCAGATCATATTTGTAACCTTTTTAGACTGACTATTCATTTACTAAATGTATTCAATTACATAAACACAGGGTTTTTAATCATCACAATTTTATGTATAGATAAATGAAATACCAATTAAGAATTCTACATCCATTATAATTCAACGGCATCAAGATATCCTTAATAATTAAACACTTCACGATTGTGTTATTCGAGTTTTGTTTTATACAAAAAAAAGGAACTTGGCGATAGAAGACATACAATTAATTAAGCATCTCAGTAAACCAGTCTCAATGTATGAAAATCAAAAGTTGAAACATTAAATGATTTTCTTACAATTTTCTGAGGATTCGATTGAATATATAAAAAAAAATCAGTCTAAACATAGGACTTGTGTTTCGTTCGACGCAGCCAACATACAAATAAACTTAAAAACTAAACGTATAAAGGAACATAAATTTAGAACTTACACAACAGTGGGTATTGTACCAATAAGTCATTTTCATGACGAAACATCTGTACATGAATATATTGCGATTAGCAATCATTCTCTTTGGGAAATTGGGATAGCTATATATTTTTGTACAGGCGCTTCGTTATTTCAAATTCACGGAAAATAAATACAAAAAAATTGAAAAATAATTATAAAATAAAATGTATCCAAAAAAAATAAATCAGACTTATTTCTCTTGTTCCGTACCGAATATAACCTTGAAGCTTGTAATATGTAATAACTATTTATATGTATGTCAATCGGAAAAACACAAAGTGTTCAAATCAAGAAATTCTTGTATATAACCTATAAATTTGAAATGTTCTTAAACAAAATATAGGTTTCAAAGACTATTGTTTTGTTTCGATACAGACAGAATGAATATAATTTAAAAAATAACATTTTACTCCCTAAGCAATGAGATTCTACTTATTTTAACCTGATCTTTACTACCGTAAGCCCGTACAGAAACATACCTCAGTTTTTTACGAAGAATAAGAAACAATGTACGAGAGATACGGGTTATGGAAACCGTTGCAGTGTCATATCAGATCACAACTATACCAATCAAAATAATCCAACCACCTCAACCTTTAGTAGGGATGCACGATATTTTTTTTTTAGTCGATTCCATAAACCAATACGATTTCTCAACACGTATTTAAGCCGAAATTAATAAACGAGCCTATTAAATTAATATTTCCAGATAAAAGCTAATTAATTAGCATTTGTTGTTAATTGCATTTTGGCACTAAAATATCATTCTTCTCTATTTATATTTTAATGTTTAGTTTTACAAAATCATACAAAAATCGATTTTATTACTATCGAATTGTAGGATACGAGACGACAAATATCGTGCATTCCTACTGAGATTTAAGCAACAAAAAAAAACACAGCCATGTACAGTAAACTGCAGTCTTCAAACAATATCACACTTCGAAGCCCTGAGAAACGTCGAACGAAACCCCAAGCCTTTTGGCAGTTGAAAAACATTTAAGGAAATCCAGTAAATATATAAAGAGAAATAAGATCACAATACAGTTAATACTTAAGAGTTAATCTTACCTAAGTGAAATACAAACGATGACAGACTTGTACACTGTCACCCCTATAAAGATGCTTACACACTATGGCGTTCAATTTCCTTCTTGACGCAATTAAAAGCAAATCGACTTGTCTTGTATAAGAGACCGCTTAAATACTAATTTAATTCTACTTAATATTATGTATTTAATTAATCGTGTTAAAAACTGATTAGCGCTTCAAACTTTCATATAATTCGAACCTAAAATATAACCACCATATTTATTGGGGCAATTCTTAGATATTGAACAAATTTGGCATCAATTTAAATCAGTTATTTAGTATTTATAGAACTTTAAGGAATGTCTTTTTTATAAATAAGTGAATACAAAAATGCATATACAAAAATGTCAAATTACAGACTAAAAATAAAAACGGATTCAAAATATAATTAGAATATGAAATGTCTCGACTACATCTAAATGATACTAACTAGTACAAATACTGGTATTTTATATGAAAATTACCGTACACTAAATGATTTGTCATAAACGGCTCGACATTATGATAACAAAGTCCAACATAAATCATTTTTTTATGTTCATATTGACTGAAAGGAATCTTTTCTACAATTTTTAATCTATTTATAATCATTAAGTACTTGAAGTTTCCTATTTTGGTGAATGTAGTAAAATTAAAGGCTCAATTTTTGTTATATACAACACAAAATATCAGTCAAGTTTAGGAGCTTATCTTGATTTTAAAATGTCAAATAAACTTAAATACGTTTAAGACAAATCAGATAGTGAGTAGTCAAATTTTAAATACAATTTAAACATAGCTTAGACATAACTTACTCAATTATACTTACTAATTATTATTGAATATGCGTAATATTTAGTAAGCGGACTTATGGGGGTGGTGGGGGGGTGTCGTGTGGGGGGTTGTAGTATAGTAGATAGGAGTGTACAATGTACGAGACGGTCGCCGCGCTGGTACACGGTGAATCTCAATACACGTATTACATAGAACTAGGAAATGATGTCCGTGAGCGTGGAAGCAAAACCTCAGTCTTGACAATCTGATGTGAGCCAACGCTACGACGCTCTGCAGAATGTGTGCCGCACTGGAATCACAAAAAGGCATTGTTTAAAAATTGGAAATGTTTAAAGGTACGTGTCCATTGGCCCGCGCCAGACGTACCGCCCGCAACGAACTCCTTCATAAATGCTGTCTTTCGTGGCAAAATAAAATCGGTCCGAGCTGTGTGTGCGGTGCGTCCGGTGCGGGTCAATGGACACGAACCTTTACGCAGTATCCATCGTTAGCTAAAACCTGTAGTGTGCTAAACTCTAGTGAAACCCAGCAACTTTGTTTCTCATATTAAAATATAAACAATGCATTAAAAAGTTATTGATAATATAATATGCTTAAATTTTGTTGAAAGGAATAATAAAATATTGATCGGACTGTTTGTAATGACGTGGGTTTCTGAGACCAAAATGTCTGTATAAACATATCGTCATCCCTTTCATCGTCATTAACATGTTTTAAACGGAGATTTCGGTCTTAGAAACCTACAGTAAATCGCATAAACCTTTTTTAAGTTTTTTACGTAATTAGCAACAATCAATATCCCCTAATTAATTTGATTATAGCAACAAAATATAGAGGTAGGTGACTTACCTCACTATTTTACGCTTCCGTAGGTTGTTCTATAGGATCGTTGCGGGTCTCCTCGGTGGGCACTGTCTTCACTTTGATATCGGATACTTCGGCCTCTACTTTCTTTTCCTCTTCCACTTTTTCAGTAGCCACAGCGTCCCCGTTAGAACCATTTACTTCCTCCTTCTTACCGTTCTCGGCTGACAATCGAGAACTTAGTTCCTCATCTTTGCTAGCGTCACCATTCAAACTTACCTCAGTTTCTCCATTAGTTTTGCCATTAAGTTGTGTCTCGACTGTTTCGGTCTCCGCCTTGACTTCCTCCACTACAGCATTGTCTTTCGATTCCACAGCAACTTTTGTATCATTGTCTGGGCTTATCTCAGGTAACTTCTGTTCTGCAGGTACATCTGGTGCCGCGTCATTCTCAGTTCCAGTTGTCTTTGTTTCTTCCTTTTTACTTTCATCTTTTGTCTCCGTTTTACTAACATCTGGTACCTCTTTGTCTGTGCTTTTTTCATTGCTATCTTCTTTCTTAGTTTCGGTTACCTTCTCTTCTGGAATCTTTGTAGATTCAGCATTACTATCCTCTACAGAAGCTGGTGCTTTCTCTTGTACGATTTCTGTCTTTGTTTCTGTCGATGATTTTGTTTCAGCTGCTTCTTTACCCTCGTCAGCGTCACATTTTTTCATTTCAAGATCTATTTCTGTATCCAATATTCTATCAACAATGTCGTTATCTAAAGTCGACGTTTCCATGGTTTCCTCGGTGATAGGAGTAAGTAAAGGTTTCACGGGTATTGTGTCTAGATTAGTGACGTTTTGAACTTTTGATAATATCTCATCACATTCCTTTTCCAGTACTTCACCAGCACTTTGTAATACCTCCATATCTTCAGTGGAAGTTGGTTCTTCTACTACTGGTTCGATATCATCAATAATTTCTTCAGCATCTCCAAGAGCTTTATCATTGGTTACGTCTTCAATTTCTGTGATAACAGTAGGCGGGGATTCTTCAACGCTAGGAGCTGGCTCCTTTGGCTTCTTCTCTACTTCAGTCTCAACTTTATCTTCTTTTTCTTTTGGCACAGTTGTTGCTGATTCTTCTTTTTCAGCAGAATCAGTTTCCATTTTTTCAACAGTCTCGTCAGTCTTTTCAACTTGTTCGTCAATAATGGGTTCTACATCAGCAATAGGAATATCTGTTACATTAGCGTCAGTAACTTCTTCAACAATAGTTTCTACCACGTCGGGTTTAGGTTCTTCTTTCTTTTCATCTGCTTTGACTTCCTTAGTTTCTTCTGCGGGTGCAGATTCTTCCACTTCCATTTTTTCCGCCGCCTCAGTTACTGGCTCTTCGTTTTTCGTTTCGGCAGGCTTAGTGTCTGTTAATTTCTTAACATCGTCTTCGTTGTCAGTTTTCGCAATCTTAGAGGGTAGTTCTTCCTGAAACGTATAACAGAACAATTTAGTTATTATATATTTTTTATATCTATAAAATAATGACATCTATTCTTACAAACAACAAATTTATTATTATTTGTAAACAGGGCCTTAGCGTAAAAAACTATGTAACTGTATATGACTATTATAAAAAGTGAAGTTTATTCAATTTCCTCTAAACAGCATATCGACTACGTACGAAGTTAGTTTGAGGGAGAAAATTAAACACGTTGGTTAAAATGGCAAAAGTAAAACATGCAAAGAAATAAACAATAATAAAAAATAAACTTTATTAATCAAATTTCCAATTCGTCTACAAATCATCTGTCAAAAAAGTTGCGAAAAAAGTTAACATATTTATAAAAAAAGGTATGATTTTCATTGTACTACTACCTACGTAAGAGAATCTACTACTCTATAAAATTGAATATTAAGCTCGCAATTTAAGAACATCTTTCACCAAACATGACAAAATCATAATAAGACAAACTTTGAATACATAATTTTGCAAGAAAACATTGAATATTAATCTTATCACATCTTATCTTGGCCAAGAACTTTTTGATGTTAATTTTTTAAACACATATTTGAAAATAATTTTATAGCTATTAGTTATTTTAGACAATGTTAAGAAATATATCTATATGTATATTTTAAATTACAATCCCATCACCTTAGAAATCGACTATTTAAAAAGCAGTGTTAATTTCCCTTTAACAAACCTTATTATATATTGTTTTATTTCTAACAAAACATTGTATAGGTGTTTTCAAATATTTTGGGTGCTCGATCACTTGTGTGCGATGTTCCGAGCCACCAATATTTTTGAAGACCTCAATAATGTACTCATCGCGTGGTACTCTTTTCTTAACTTTATTTATGTTATTGAAAGTTATTTACACTAGTGATTATACTGAAGGAGCCGAATAAGCCAAAAAACATGCAAGTGACATTCAAATAAATAATTTCTAATAAATACATAAGCGCTACATCTACTAACTGAATTATTACATTGCATTATTTTACACATTTTATAGGTGAGATAAATACATAAAGTATAATATGTAGTCAAAAAATTAAGTTGTAAAAAAGAAATAATTAAAAAAGCGAGTTTTATACGCTCAGACACAAGTAAACCCAGAGACCAAATATTGAGTGTAGTAGGCCATTAATAACTATTTATGTTGGTTGTTCCTTTGAGATTGGTCTCCGAGGGGGTTTTGGGTCAAATCCCATATAACCCTTTCCTCTGAAAAGGATATTTATAAGCTACCCCCTCCCCCCCCTACACCATAAGTAAAGGGCGAGTAAAAAGTATAGTGCGCTAGTGTAGCACCTGCGGCTCAGTCTTGCGCTTGTTGGAGGCGAGCTGCGCGAGGCTGTGCAGCACGGTGAATGCGGCGCCGGCCTCCGCGGGCAGCGGCGCGTTGCCCTCGCGGCTCACCAGCGCCGCGTGCAGACCCGCACTGCGAGCTGCCTCCGCCTCTGTACACATTCACAGTATATTCTTAATAACATTTTAAAAAGTTACATAATACTTTGCACCATAAAAATACATGTGATTTTTGTTGGCAGAATGGGGGTCAAAAATTCGGCAAAGATCGCATGATTAATAGACGACCCCTCAATGATAAAAAAACCTTTTTCCTCTCTTCTCCGGGACCCTTAAATCGCTAACATATACATATAAAGCGATGACTAGAATATGACACGTGACTCAAAATAAAAGCCATAGTGAAGTATACTGCAATGTAAGAATGTATGGTGTTTCTTTTCAAAAATGACCAACTCAAAAACATCTAAATGTACCTTTAACAATATCAGTAAGGAAGAGTATTTCATCAGGTTTGCAGCCGATCTTCTCGACGATCGCAGTGTAGCTGGCGGGCTCTTGCTTCGCGCCCACTGCTGTATCGAAGTGACCTTCAATATATGGCAGCAGGTCTCCAGCCTGGGACTGACCGAAGAGCAACTTCTGAGCCTGCACTGAACCCGACGAGTAGATGTATACTTTCTGACCGTCGACGGACTTCCATTGCTCGAGGGCCGCTGATACATCGTCGTATACACTGGAATGTTTAATTACATGACTTTCATACTTATTTTAATAGATATTTGTCAGAAGGTATCTCTAGAACGGCTGCATTTATCTCGCGGAAATTTGGCATAGATGTAGAACATAGTCTGGAAGAAACATAGGCTACTAATCATGTTTTTTTTTTAAATTGCGCGCGGACGAAGTCACTTGCGACAGCTAACATTAAAATGACTTTGGCAAATCGATTCTCGTAATATGAGTTGTAGATAATAAAATGTGTAAAATAAAATTTAAAGCGTATTTAACACACGCATATTCGAATGTCCGTGACCATGACTCGCGTGATAACATTTCATTACTACTTTACGACATTTAAATTATATCACTTGTTGACTTTGTAAACAAACTATACTTCCTTTTTAAACATCGTATTAAACATAAATTACCTTAATTAAATGAAATATACACCGTTTATTACCATAATGTATTTAGTAACCTACTAAATATAAATGATTGTAGGTTTTGTCTGCAGTGTCTCTTATCCCTCTCATTCTCTTTGAAAAAATGGAGACAAACAATATAATTCAATAAAAATGTCACAGCAGTCGGAACATAAATGTGAAATGGTCTGTACTTACTGTCCCTTAATATCGCCGCTATCATAGCCCTGCTTCCAGATAAGACCCTGCAGCTGCTTGAGCGGCCCCGCCTTTCGATCAGCGGACATCTGCCACTTGACACTCTTCACCAACCCTTCGATCTGCTCCTCCTTTGTCGCATCCTGGCAATTCTCACACAAACATACGTTAAATATATATTCTAACATCCGACCACCACTTAACGTTAAGTGATGATTCCATCAAGGTTAAAATAGAAGTCTTTTTTCAATTCATTAGGCACATTTTCACTTATTTTTGTAGTTTATGTAGTTTTATTTTTTCCTGTTCACAGACAAAACTCATACAAACTTACCTCTCCGGGTATAGCGACGACTCCATCGACACTGCTCTCCTTGTCCTCAAGCGCCAGCTGCCGCAGCGCGTCCACCGCCGTCTTCACCTCCGCAACATCCCACTGGCTCTCCAGGAACTGCTGCACCTTCTCCTCCGCGTACGGGAATAACTTATCCTGAAACAAATATAACATTATATGAGACGAGATGAAATTCTTCATATGACACCCTGCCTTGATTCTCAAGTAGAAACACTAAAGCCATCCTCGAAGAGTTCTAGGATTTCCTAAGTAACCGGGACTCTACCCTGGACATCCGCACGACCTAGGAGACATAAACTGCCCTCATGGCTTCACAAACTACGACAATTCTACGAAATAATTGGTCTACTTATAACAACTACTTACAACTCTAGAATTCGCATTCGTAAATATCCAGTTCAATGGATATCGGTTACAACTGGGATAAGAGACCGTGACCCGCGCGGACGACGACCTGTCGCCGTACCCATTGCTAAGTTGCATGAATAACAAACGCCGGCACAAAAACTTGCAAATTTATACACAAACACGATGCAAATGGTTACTTATACAAACACAAAGTTGTAAAGTGGATACATACTTAATTCCGTAGGGTTTTAAGCTTTTATACATAAGTCATATGACGTACCAGCTCTTAAACTAAGACCCAAATGTGATAGGAATAATCTTTAACCATCTCTTACTTATCATACCGAACATTTCAGAGACAATGATGTCTCTAAGTGATCAGATGTACTCGTTAGTCCGTTTGTATTCCTTCCTTGAATGACTTCCTATGACAAATACCTTTGAAGACTTCGCATTTAGATATTCCAATTTGTGTAGATACCAGTAATTATATAAACATGTTCTTTTCTAGAGAATAGATACAAAAAGAACGGATATAGGTATAGCTAACCGATCCTAATAAGTCAGGGTACTGCATACAAAACTAAAGGCGACATTCCAGCAACAAGAAGTATAAAAATAGAGAATCGCACAGGTATTATCCAGCTTCTATACGGATAGAAACGGGTCTGGGATTATACCACGGCTGTACGCATATATTCGAAACTGCTTGGATTATCCTGAATTATAATTGGGAAAGGAAAAAAAAGTATGTCAAAAAAAGTGCTGTGTGAATTTATTCTATAAAATAAAAAAAAATCATGATTATGGCTTATGTATTTAAGACAATGTTGAATAAAATTACTTGGCAATAAGCTATTGGCGTTTTAATTCACAACTTAATTACTTACTAGTAATTACTACAACTTACAATCCTTAAGTAATAGTTTAGTAAATCTACACTAAAGTACTGTTAAGTCACGATTTAATGACTGATATACAACTTATATATATGAAGTTAACATTATTAATTTATGAGTTCACCGCTATGTAGACACGTGTAGACGGTGCGATCAATAAAGCAAGCCTGCGTATTTGACGTAAAGGGAACACATTTCCAAGAAGTACCCACTCTCGGTAGACCTTTCTCGGAAATTTCGCGGGGAAGTCTTTACCTGGTGAAATCTTGTATCCAATTATTTAACAGGTAAAATTTTCACTCAAGATATTGAAATGCCAACGGTACATCCGTTTGTATAAATAAAAATTATTTGAATATTTGTCTCCTAGAAACAAAAAAAAAACGAAGAACAGACTTTCAATCACAAGCCCTTAAAGGATGCTTGACCAGAAGTCCCGGCAAAACGATACTTTAAATAATTTTAAAAATGGGTTAATTTTAGAATCATGAAACTATGACTACGGCATTGATATTAAAGATTAATAGAGTTACATAGATTGAGAGGTGTTGATAAACCAGGTGATGAGGTGGTGAACAATCAGGTTTTATTGCAGGTTATGCGAATATTAGTTACATTACAATGTATTGAACGATCATGAACTCAGAGACAATAAACGATCAAGTGCTTAATTGCTTGGAATTACGTCAAGGTATGTATGAAATATGTTCTGTAGCTAGGGTTTAACCTTTGAAAAAAAATGAATGCAGTAATTTGTGAGTCGTAGTAATATGTAATAGAAATGAATATCCTCAAAGGATAGGTGCGCTGTTTTCGCGCTATATTCAAGGAATTAAACTTAAATTTACAAATACATATATAATTATAGAACAAAAACGTCTAAAATTCTAAAATACAGCCGAGAAAAAATATTTTGCGAGGAGAAATTTGCAGCAATATTCTGTGACAATTTAAAGAATCAATGACTCTATTTTAATAAGTTTAATAGTGTAAAGTGATGCTAACTATTAGTTAAGAGAAAAGAAACTAAGCATATTCGAGCACGAAGCGACTGAGGTGAAACTGCATTGGTTTGCAGGTGAACGAACTGGCAGGGCGACTATCCAAACCGGATAGTTGGCCCGGGCGCGCCAGTAGGGCCGGCTAGACGCATTGTGCACTCTATCTGCTCCAATTATATTGCCGTTTCGCTGGATAATTCGCAAACGGGACCTCATTATGTATAATGATTTGTTCCTGACTATTTATGTACAAAATCTAATTTATCCGAACATCAAACACACAGATGTCGATTTTATACTAAACCTATACTATAGGGAATTAGTATTGAGAATTCAAATCTTACTAACATTATAAATGCAAATGTTTCGATGGATGGATGGAAGTTTGTTGCAAGGTATCTTCAGAACCGCTAAACAGACCTCAATGAAATTTGGCATATTGGTGTAGCATAGTCTGTAAGAACACATAGGGTAATAATTACGTTTTTTTTATTCCACGCGGACAAGTCAAGGATAAAAGCTAGCTTAGTGTAAAATAATAGGCTAGTAAAGTAGGTAGCGATATTTTTCAAGGTTTTAACCTGTTAAATCTACAAAAAAACCATCGGGTAAATTACCTTTTAACAGAAAAATTTCATCGGAATCCGTAAACAAATGAACACAAAGATACAAAAGGCGATACTTCGACGAATTTTTTTTTACAATGCCATAAAAAAAAGTTAGGGATGAGCCTGTATCAGTCACTAATAAAGATAAAGCTCTACTGAGAGCTTATTTCAACATACCAACAACGTATTTTATTTACATACCACCAAAAATATTTTGACCATAGTTCTGATGCACATATAATTGGTTTATAAAATCTTTTAGCTACAACAAACTTTCTTACTCCGGTACGTTGGCAAATAATAACAGATGAATGTCGAAACAAGAATGGATACGGGACACGATATAATGAAGGAGAGTCGCAAAAAATCACGGTCACTTTCAATGAATTAACAAAGGAATTCTATAGTATATTGCAGGTAAACTTGCAAAGCAGTTTCCAAATAAAAAAAAATTAAATTATCTTTTTCACTTATAGTGGTACAGACAGAGACGGGAATTAAAGCTTTAGACTTTTGTTATCTTGTATTGTTTAATTAGGTATGGATACAATTAAAAAAACAGTACAATCGATCCTATTTTCTTTGGCTAAGAACCCAACAGAGAACGAAAACACAACTAAGTAATTTTAGAATTTATTGCTTATCTCGTATGATCGAGTTCACTGGACTGGACTGGATTACCTAAGTATTTAATGTGTATAGTTGATTTCAATTATTTTCCTAAATATATCAAAAATAATTTAATTAGTTGTAGACCGCAACTCTGTCCGCGTAATAAAAAAATAATTAGTAGCCTATGTGTTCTTCCAGACTATGTTCTAAATATAAGTCAAATTTCAGAGAGATCCTTGCCGCTGTACTAGAGATACCTACTAACAGACATCCATCCATCATACGCATTTATTTTAAAGAAATATCTTTACCATGAATGCAAGAGAAATCTGAAGCAATAATCGTTTATAGCCACTAGAAAAATTAGACGTTCTAAAAACGTACGAATTAATGTTGCGAAAATAATAAGTACGCTTTGTTAAACTAATGCTTTATTCTGTTTTACTATATTATCTACCATCAAGAATCTTATGTACAAAAACATTTTTTTTAATTAATTCGCAAAAAGCAATATCAAGGAATACTATAAGATTACTTGTAAAATAAACGTCAAGGGTCGAAGTACTCTGTGCGAACAAATGTAAGTCTTATCTCTTTGGTTTTAAGTACCTTTTCCAATAAATAGGTAACAAAATTCGCTTTACAAACCGGCTTATACCTACGAGACGAACGGGAGAATTTTGGGGTCCATAATAAATGGGCCTGTTGTATTTAGGACGAGAGGGAGAGATGTTACTCCGAATGCTAACAGTAAGCTACATCTTGCTATAAATACGATTTAAATTTAACACCAAACGAATTATATTGTAACTAGCTGTCGCCTGCGACTCCAGCCTCGCAAAAATAAAAAAAAAGTTAATTAGTAGCCTATATGTTATTCCAGCTATGCTCTACATCTGTGCCAAATCTCATCAAGATCTGTTGAGCTGTTCCGGAGTTACCTTGCAACAAACATCCATCCAAACATTTGTATCTATCATGTTAGTAAGATATGTATGTACCGTCTTCATACTATGAGCTAAAAAATGCATGAAAAATGAACCAAATTTTTTTATTTGAATATCAATATCCCAACACATCCGAACACTGACATGTTCGAGAGGTACACAAAATATATTATGTATTTTATAATTAAAATACTTTAAATAATAGTAAAAACTTACCCATGTACTAACTAAATCATAGAGAGAGAAAGGTTAAGAATTTATCTTACACTTGATAACTAACGGTAATACCTTACCCCTAATGAGTTACTTCTGATTTATCTTTCAATTAATAAGTAGAAAGTTGTAATAATATAATCTTACTAATATTATACTTACTTACTTACTCCGCTGGCGCATCAACCCAAATTGGGTCTTGGCCTCCGACACAAGAGATCTATCTACAAATAGCAACTTTTGAAGCAACTAATATTATAAATATAAATATTTGGACGGATGTTTTTAGAAGGTAGAAGTGTTTAGAAGGTATCTCCGGAATGCCTCAAAGGCTCTTGATAAAATTTGGCACAGCTAACATTGACATTATTTCTACCGTTTAAGGGTAAGTGACAGCATAACTAAGAGGTGCTAATTTTATATATTTTAAATTAAAATAAGCTAATGTAATTCTGAATTTAAGAAATAATTAAGATAATATTTATCAAGTTACATCATTTGATGGATTTGTCAATGGTGTGTTTAAGTTTAAGTATTATACTAAACACAGTTAAATATTAATTAAATACAGTATGTCTTAAAGTAAATGTGGTTATAGAACATTTTCATTGTTTTAGATTACTTAATTAATAGAATAAAATCCCTTTTAAAGCTTTAGTAAAATTGTAGTATAGAATTTAAAATATTGTTTTTAAACTACAAATTAATAAGTGTGTACGATGTACTTTAGCATAAACAATATTTTACGCCCACTTAAAAAAAAACTTATAAAAAATGAAAGTAGTAAATAAAAGTTGTAGTATCAAAGCTCGAGCTTAAAGTACAGCATACCTTTAAAATTATCAAGGCATTGCATGCAACATTCCCTACATTATTCATCTCTTTCGTGTTTTAATATTTCACACGAGTGCGACCGAGATAGGTATAGATGTCTCAACGTCTCTTCAGTCAAGACAGTTAAATGTTCCACATTTTTTTAACTGCCAGCTGCTTCAAACAGCTGTTTGTACCGGTATTGAGTTTTACTTGATGGATTGTTTTACGCTTTTCCATATTTATGCAAAATTTTCACAAAACAAACTATGATCTTTTAATTAATTTCGTTGTTGTTTAATACAGCAATTAAGTACAAAAGATTTGCAATAGAACGTTAAAATAAATCGAAAATTAAAATAAGATTTGGTGAAGCTCTGAATAAATAATTATTCTATAATTGATTTAATATATTATATGAACACGACACTCGGAAATCAGACAATGAGAGCACTGGAAAGGGGACCATTTTGATTTCGTCCTCCATGTTGCGAATCTTGAAATGCGACATTTTACACACCCTACTTAATCCGGAGTAGTATTTGGCACCCAAACTGTATTATTCAACAAACACAACGTGCTTAATTAACTAAAATAACAGAAAAAACACATGTTGAAACAAAACACCGGCCGGCCAATTTTCAGACCTACCTTAACAAAGCTGATCGATGTTGTTGTCCCTTCGATGTCCAAAAGCAAGATTTTGCATTTTTTAACGATATCAGTAATTTCCTTAAGTTCATTCGCCATTTTATATGTACAACCTATATCAGGTGTACTTTGTTAAGATATTTAATTTTATTCGACTAGAAATTCGTCCACGCCACACAACTACCCCACACCACAGAAAAAAAGCATTGATTGAACGAGATACACGACGAGCTGAAGGACGCGCGGGTGCGGGTTGAAGCGAGAACGAGATAACAAACTTATGGATTAATCATAAGAGGGAAGGAGACAAGTAAACGGAAGGATACAGCTGTTCCAGTGTTCTAAACATTCTGAATTTCTTGTAATATTGCCATACTTATATTTTAAGTAAATTATTTTTATTATAAAATAAATAAATAGTCAGTTATCTGAATATATAAAATAAAGATATGGGTATTATTTTTATTTCTTGTTAAAATATGTGTTTTGTTTCAGAAATGCGGGTACTTGTAAAACATATTTTGTTACAGAACATATTTAAGTCAATGTTACAGAGGCGAAGTTAATATTGATTAAGAGTTCTCATTATATTTGTTCTTCAATTTTACTACACAATAACACTCTTATCGCCTATTATTGGTCCTTATTTTACGTCCACACCCAGTACATTTTTTAGCGATTATTTCTTGTTTTTAGAGTTAAATAAGATTACACAGTTAAGGTTTTAGATTTACTAAACATTTTCTTTTCTTATACTATCCCTAATTTGCCTAATATTTAAATGACTTACCTTTATTTTTAGCAGAACCACCAAAAACACTTCACTGAACTATTTATCCATGTGAAAGTAGTTTTTTTCTAATATACATTTATTTGTTACGTTTTTCCTTTAATAAAAAACGCATCAACCATATAAAAAAATAATTTATTTTATCTTAAAAACAAATCGTAAGTATAATATTCTATCCAAAACATATCAAGTGCTAATTTTATTATGTTACAAAATTCTAGATACATTTAACTATTGAACCTAAATCTAGTTTTAGACATTATATGTACAACTACTAATATTTAACACTTTTTATACCTGTCAGTTATAAAGGTTATGTAGGATTAAGGTCATTTAACATAACAAATTACAAAAAATAGTTCTAGCTTATTAAATTAAATGTGAATTAAAGTTGAATAGTTACTGAACACACTATTTTATTTATTTTAATCAACCTCCTGGGCTTTTCGAACCAACAGAAGATTCCATATACATACTAAATACTTACTCTAAAATAGAACATTCCAAAACAGTTTAAATACATATACAGAAAAAATACTCAATGTTGTCAATAGTAAAATTGAATTACAATTAATTTAACTTATGGTGTCATTAGTTAAAATTCTATAAAACTTTTCAGCCTACCAATATGACTTAAAATTAGCCATCCAAATAGTCAAATAAACTGCTCCGCGTTGTTTTCCGTTTTTCCTCAGCCTTCAATTTCTTAATCAAAACTGGCGAAGGTGCGACTGTATCGGCTTTTCTCTTAGAAACCTGCAAAAATATTTTTTTATTTCTTTATTAGGCATAGAAATACTCATATATAAGCTACAAGCAAGAAATTGAAGGAGAGTACATATAGGGATCCCTCCTCTGTCTAATAAAGCTATATGTATGAGCAACGATATCTTCGCTATTTTAGCGAAAACAGGTGGCTGCTAGCTCATTGTACTACCTTAGGTTCAACTTCATCTTGCGATAAGGCGGCAAATACGAAGTTTCTTCTATTCGTTGATGCGGAAACTTTGGTGGTTTCACCGTCGCCTGCCAGCGGGGTGGCGATTGCAGCCAGCCGTGCCAACGCACCTTTACCTCGAGACAGCAACGACCCGTGGTAGTTTTGCTTCGAAAAAAAATACATACATAAATGAATTAAAGAAAAAAAACTCCTATTTGAAATGCTATCAAAGACCAGGGAGATAATCGAATGTCTCTTGTAAAATTAGCTTTTTTTAGAACTGACATACTGCATGCGAACCCGGATAAGGGAGAAACATCTATAAGCAAGATTCCTTGTTCTTGAGAATCCTCGGGAGAGATAAATGTTAATACATAATATAATATCAGTTACACATTGATACTATATTAACACATTCACTGCCACTTATTCTGTGTACTTTAGTATGAGAAAATCGTTGTGGCATTGAATGTGTTAAACATAAGGCTTACCAAGATATTTACCTGAAAAATGGCGAAGGGTTTCTTTGGACTTGGTATATCTTTATGCGTTTTCTTTTCTTGAATAATTTCTTTCTCTTTGTCTTCATCAATATTTTTATTTGGTGCAGTGGCGGGATTGGTTGCGGATTTCGATATAAGATTCGCTTTTATTAGAGCACTTCTATTTATGCTTGTACTGTTAAGATCTTCGTCTTCCCCTTTCTGAAATGAAAAACAAACATTAAACCATTACTGTTGTTAATTTAGATAACAAAGGACCAAGCATGAATATTTGCGATACACGCCTTCCTAATGTCATCCACATGTCAAAATTTGTGTGAAATTTATTAGTGTACTTTACGCCAGGCATGCACACTTCGCTAATTTTTAGAAGAGTATATTCGTCCTAGGCCCTCATGAGGTTAAGTTTCTATCAAAGATCTGAGACTGAATGTAATAGAAACTTTCTAGAACTTTCTTAATCGTGGCTAGACGCATGTAGGTTACATGAAAGAGATGTTCTTAAAAGATCTCCTACATTAAAAAAAATACTTTGTTAAAGTAGCCAAATATTCTTCGTCTTCTTTTTATTAATTGCTAAATATCATAGTTGTGTATTACCATTTTCTTTAAGAACATTTCTCTTTCGTGGCGCTGTTTTCTCCATAACTCTTCAGACTCAAACTCCTCTTCCTGTGTGTCGGCGAACTCGTCTCCTGCCGCGCCAGTCTCTTCCGTGTCTTCTAAAGATATTAATAAAAGTAATATTTAATAGAAAATACATAAAATTAACTAACAGTACGATTAGGATACTCCTGGGAAGAATATAAAGTGACAATACTCTTCAAAATATGTTTTACCTTAATTCTATATAAATTTAAAACATAAGTACTAAAGAAAGTCAGTTTCTATATGTTTGACGATGATGTTTGTTTTTCCCTATGTTTAGTAGGTAAAGACATTTTGTATAAAAACTGTAATCATATTTTTGTCTCCACTTTCTGATTTTTATTCATCATTTATTAAATCATACTGTTATAAATATTTACCAGCATTCTTCCATCGGAATTTGCGCTGTCTATGCCCATCACCCAAGTCTCCATCTTCTAACAGCAATTCCTTGATCAGTCTTACTTCTCTCTTGTCTTGGTCGAGTACATCTCTCCTGTAAATGTATATCATACATTAAAATGTACGGAACACTAGCTGTCGCCCGCGACACCGTCCGCGCGGTATTAAGAAAAAACTTAGTAGCCTATGTGTTCTTGCCGATGTTTACATCTATGCCGAATTTCAACGATATCCATACATCGCAACATTCGTATTTATAATTTTAGTATAAATATGAATTTCTCTCCTCAAACACAGACTTTTTTATCACCCCTGTACATCTTTTTCGCGGTTTAAAATCAACCTACTTAGCCATTTTATTACGTCTTATGTTCATCGTCAATTTTGACAAAAAATCATATAAATGTGTTATTTTTTTGGCAGAAAATGTGATAATAATTACATGTGTATTTGTCCCAGCTCCTTTCTGAGCTTTCCTTCGTGGAAGACATCGTCATCACCCTCCTCGCGCTCCATGCGGTCGAGCCCCGCCTCGTCTTCATCACCAGATCCAATCCATTCATCTTCTGAAGTCAGTTCTGCTTCTTGCTCGAAAAACTCGCCAATTTTCTTCTTCTTTTTCTGAGGTTGTACTTCCACCTGGAACCAAAAAAAAAGTTTATTAAACTTGTCCCAATAATCAAGTTAAAAGACGATATAAAGACTAACAAGTATTGAGGGTCGCAAGATGTTATTCCTAATCTCTACCTACACCTATAGTTTAAGGATTATAAAGTATGGTTAAGTAACAATGAATTTGTTTTAATTTAATTTAATTTTGTTTACCTCATTTTCTTCCGAGTCATATTCAACTATTCTTTCAACATCTTCGATATCAGATTCAATGTTATCTTCAACATCAGATTGGAGTTCTTCCATTTCTTCTTCATCGTCTGGAATATGGTATGGAATTTTGATGAATCAGAATTCGTCAGAGCAACATTTAAAAAAGTTTAACATGGCCGCATACATCTGCTACCTTCCAGTGAAAGTCTCATCAAATTCAATCCAGCTATTCCGGAGATTACCGGAACAAACTTACAGACAGACACATAATTTTATTTTTTAATAAATATTTTTTTCGATATTACAATCAGACACTCCTTTTTTATTTTATTATGTATAGATTATAATAAATTTATAGAGATATAATTGTGCTAGTTTCTTACCTGAAAACTGTAATGCTCTTTGTTGGAGTTTTCTTTTTTTAATTTTATTTTTTCTACCTTTTTCAGAATTATCTATGTCAACTTCGTCATCTGAATCAATTACTAACTTTTTTTTAATACTTTTATTAGCTTCACTCTGTTCATTTTCTTTATTTGCGTTTGAATCGTTAGCGAAATATTTATATTTCTTCGGCGATTCAAACTGAGGGTCATCTAATTCTTCTAGAATAGAAGATAATATCTCTTTCTCTTTATTCCTTACATCTTCTTTTTCCAGAACTTCAGTCTTATTTGTATTACCATCTTCTTTATTGATTTCTTCATTCAATGTGCCTTTATTTATATTGTTTTCAAGAACTATTTCTTTATTTGATAATATTTTGTCTTCATTTGTATCTTGAATCTGTGACACAAATGGGTTGTCATAGAACTTTCCGGTACACAAAGCTAAAATATCTTCACCAATTTCCTGAGACTGTGTTGGAGTAATCAATTCTTGTGAATTTTGAGATGCATTTGTTGCAAATAAATTATCACCCATAATAACATCCTGAAATTAATGTTAAAATCATATTAAATACCAGTAAAATAGTGAATAGCACACAAAAAAATATCTTATTAATATTATAAATGCGAAAGTTAAGATGGATAAATTTTTGTTAAAAGGTATCCCCGGAACGGCTCAATTTTTTTTGATGAAATTTGGCATACATATGGAACATAGTCTGAAAGAATACATAGGCTACTTATTAAGTTGTTTTTTAGTTCCGCGCGGATGTAGTCGCTTACAGCTAAATAAACAGAAATAAATAAAAATTTAAAAAAAAAGTTTATAATGGACCACAAGATTTTTCTCGCTTTTAGAAGTTTCTCTCTAACCCAAGATTCTCGCTTGTGGAGGTTGTCTGTTGGGTTCTGACTGACTCTGGATAATATAGGTTTCCCGCTCATCCTGGTTCGACTATACATAAAAATAAAATATTATACTTACTGTATTCCCTATATTTATTTCTTTAGATATTAAATCGTCAAGACATTGTGTACCACTTCCTGTATTAGCTATAGAAAATGTTTGACTACCCAAATCTGGATCACAGTCGATTCCTTTTTTAATAGTATTTATCTGTGTCACAGGTTCTTGGGATATAATTTCTTCTGATGTTGTTTTGGATACTTGCGCCAATTGTAATTCTTCATCTGAAAAGTAATAATATAAAATTAAACGTCTTCTTAAATATAAAAATTTCGTGTCACAATTTTAGTTCCCATACTCCTCCAAAACGGCTTGACTGATTCTCATGAAATTTTGTGAGCATATTGTGTAGGTCTGAGAATTGGCCAACATCTATTTTTCACGCCCCTAAATGTTAAACCCTTAACATTTAGGGGGATGAAAATAAATAAAATTTTTATTTTTTAGACAAACACGCGGACGGAGTCGCGGGCGACAGCTAGTTTTAGTATAAAACTATCAAATTACATTTGGACTTAAAACGGAAACTCAGATTTTGGTAAATATTAATACATATTAAAAGTATTTGGTTGTTAGATAGATATGAAATATAAATTTGAATTCTGTATTTTCTATAAGAAAAAAATTGTTTGCTTACATTGAGAAACTACTAAACTAAAAAAAAATCTACTATTGGAAAACACTAACCATAGGCAACAAATGTTATTTTCATTACTAAGGTTTTTTTAAATTCCACACAGACAACTTGTTTTTTTTTTCATATTATTACTAACCTTGAGTTGAGCTTATATTTAAATCTTCAGAAACTTCCTTTAAATTAGATGTATCACATTTGTCATTGCACTCAATATTTTCTTTAATCTCGCCTTCATCATCGGAATCTTCAAATGCTTTTAAAATCCTTCCCTTCTTTGGTTTACTGTTTTCTTCATCATGTGAATCAGATGATTCATCTTCACTAGAATCTTCATCACTTGCATCACCTTCACTGCCATTGTCTACTTCATTGATTTGATCGTCAGGTGCATCTTCAACATCTGATTCCTCTGCTTCTTCATCAATCATTGGGTTTCTCTTCCTCGGTTTATCTTCAATTATACAATCATCTTCGCAGATTTCTTCTTCACTTTCTTCAGAACTTTCTTTATTACTTATATGACTATTGTTAAGTTCTTCCAATTTAGCTTCTACTTTTTCAATATCGTCCAATTCAACATCAGTATTGTGATTTTCATTCATTTCTAATTGTTTTTTCTGTTCCAATCTTTTTGTCCATTCTAAAGATCTTTGCTCGGCTATTTGCTCTTCAAGTTCTTGTTTTAATTTTAATAATTGAACACCCGGTTTATATCTGCAAATACAATCAAAATTTTAATGTTAAGATGTTATAGAATAATTAATGTATTTTTTCTGAAAAAAAAGGAAATTTAATATGTTTGATAATAGGTTTTTTATAAATTTGTTTGATTATGTTCCACTACTGTATTATAGCAAAGTTATTATAAAACTAGCTGTCGCCCGCGGCTTCATTCACGCGGAATAAAAAAAACATAATTGTTAGCCTGTGTACTTCCAGATTATGTTCTATTTGTATGCCAAACTTCAATTTGATCCATTCAGCAGTTCTGGAGATACCTTCAAGGAAATGCCATCCATCTTAACATTCACATTTATAATATTAGTAAGATGCAGAACACATCTAGATTAGGCTTGAATATTTCTTTAATGTTTTATGGTGAGTTTCTGAGACCCAAATAACTCATTAAAATATATTGTTACCTGTTTTGTCAAAGAATAACAGGTATGACAATGTTCTATACAGAGAATTTGGGCTTAGAAACCATCGATTAGTTATGTAAATTTAAGTCTAAATAAAAACTACTTACTTTTTCTCTCTATCCTTCTCTTGTTCTTCTAAAGATTTCAGTCTAGCAAAATATTTAAACTTTTCTTTCAATTGTTCAACACCGGAAAGTTTACTTTCAGATAAAGAATTGTCCTCTAAATCTATAACCATTCCAGGGGCACCAGTTAACTTAGGTTTTGTAGTTAAAGAAATTTCAGATGAACGATTACGTTTGTTACCTGCAAGAAAAAATCACAGAATTAGATATCTTGCTAATATTAAAAAAGGGAATGTTTGGATGTTTCTTCAAAGGTATCTTCAGAGCTGTCATGGATCTCCCTGAACTTTGGAATAAACACACTGGCTACCAATTAAGGTTTTTTTTTATCCCACGTGGAGACGCGGGCGATAGCTAGTATTCAATATTTTTAAAATTAGAATTATTACAAAAATACCTTTATCCGCAATATTTTCAATCATATCATCTATTTCATCAAAATTGAAGTCATTTTCAAGAAATTCACTCTCAATATTATCTGTCTCAATCAATTCTGAATTTGTTTGTTTAACAATATTTTTATTTATTTGATTTTCATTTACTTTATTCAAATTTAAAGTATCAATTTTCTCTGAATCGTAATATAGTTCCATATTTTGGCTGTCATCTTTTTCACAATTATTTGAACCAGAATTATTTGTGTCATAATTAGTTGTGTCTAATATTACTTTGTTTTCTTCAGAAGATTCTAATTCTTTTATATCGTCAACACTTTTATTGAATGAGTCTTTCTTAATGTCAATATTTTCTGCAATTGTTGTAAACTCTATAGGATTTAAATCTTCACTAACAATCATTTTAGTGTCCACTTTATCTTCTGGGACTATTTCCATTGGTTCATTATCTGTATCTATTTTAGTAATATCTGGTGTCTTATCTAGGTCTGTTTGAATATTTGGTAGCTCATCATTCTCTTTCGTTTCCTTATCATCATCTTCTTCTGTATCACTTTTACAAAGCTCCATCATTTCTTTCTGTCTTTGTTCTAACTGTAAACTATCAGAAATAAACAAAAATATAGTCTAAACTTATATAAAGTTAAGGCTAAATATACTTTTTATAGATACTGCAATTTATTCAGGATTTTAATTGAATACAATATAGGAGATTGCATTTTTTTGTCAAAATGATGATGAATTATATATTTCCTAAAAATTTATAGAACATGCTGTAGTATGTAATATGGCATTGCTAAGTTTGTATATTACACAAATATAATATTAAAGATTGTGCTAAAAGTAGAGAAAAACCAAAGAAAGTATTGATGGTTTTTGTGAAAGAGGTTATGTTTAAGGGGATGGGTCCAGATATGACGGCTCATGGAGATGAATGGAGTACTAGATACTGTGCCGACCCTCTTAAGGGAACTCTGCCCTCCTAAGGCCAGGTTGATGATGAGATAGCTCTCTACTATTTTAAATATTACATATCTTTAATAAACAATAGCAACTAATTGATATTGTTCATCAATGTAGATAACACCTTAATTTTAAGCAATATAACATAATAAAATTGACTTACGCATATTGTACCAATTGTTCAGGAGTCATTTTAACAGATAGAACCTTCCCATCAGATGCTAAAGCTGGTTTCCGTCTGCTCATAATATCTTTGAGTGACAAAGCTTTTGGTCTATGGTATGGAAGTGAAACTTCTTTTTCTCTTAACATGCGGTTAGATTCACTTTTAATCTTCTGCTTATTTTCCATAGCCTGCTTAGCTGATATCTAAAATTAAGGGTTGTATAAGATTACTTTTATTTATAACAGTAACTCCTGTTTTTTAAATTTTCACTCATAAAAAGAACAAATAATTCCAATTGCACAATGAAATTTATTATGAATATATTTTAATTATATAATGAAGACAAAAACAAGTTTTAATAGGCCAGTGTACACATTACTGCTAAGATATTTATATAGAACCATACATGGTTCAATATCTTAGCGACAAGTAGCTTGGACATATATAGATTTCAGTCCTATTCAGTCAAGCACTTAACTGTGCCATCAACTCCCTTTAACAATAGAAATTGTCCATTTAAATTTTCTAATGCATGATGTCTCTTTTTACAAAATACAATAATAATGAATAACAATGTACAGTCTTACTGTTGGCTTAACCCTTTAACTGGTAGAAGCAATTTTGTCTCGGAAAAATTGTTTTTTGGACTGTTGTAGGTACTTTAATAACTTTTATTAAAGAAAAAAAAAACAATCATATTTAGTGAAAGAAAAAAAACATGGTGGCAATATCCTTGCCAGCACCAGTATGAGCTCTGGTAAATTCTGTTCATGGATTTTCCAGTTCAGTTGGTGAAATAATTTAAAACATGGGTGCTACAAAGTGGAAAAAATCATAAAAATGTTGGTGGCACACATATTGCCTTCACCAGTAAAAGGGTTAAGTGTAATGATAACATACCTTTATAGGTTTAGGCGATGTTAATCTAATAGACTTCATACTTGATGTCTTTTTTTGTTTGCTAGAATCATCTTCATCACTTGAGGAGTCAGGGTCACAAATGGCTGAGATTTTCTGCATATGCTTATCTTTAAATGTCTGTAAATATTGTCAAGTTTAATATTAGTTAACTTAAATGTGTTATCGTTATTGTTTCCTTCAATGTTTATTTATAAAAAGATGATTGATATCTCTTAGGTATATTTCACTGCAAATATTAAATTTATTTTGTTCTATTTGACAAATACCATTGAATATGTATAATTATAATACCTGTTTGATTTTGTTGCATGAAACTTGTTCTTCATCTGACTTGTCTGAATTTATATTGTTTAGTTTGCTATTTAATTCTTCCTTTAATGAAACATCCATATCCAGGCATTGGTCTTGTTTGGACACTAAATTTCTAAATTTCTCTCTCAACTTACTCTTTTTGTTTTTAACTCTACTTAAATCGTATTTTTCCGTTGTTTTTTCAGCTGTTTCATTCAAATCCTCGTCACTAATAGACAAAGTTCGAATTCTTGATTTATGTTTACTCCCAATTTTTAAAGTACTCATATCTTCAGAGTCACAAATTTTTACACTATCTTGATTTTTTTTAAGATCATCAGACTCACTGCTGCTGTCAGAAAAGTGATGAACACGTTTTTTAGATCTTAACATAGGCTCATCAAGTTCGTCTTCAGACTCCAAATTATTAGCTTCGCCTTTGAAGCTATCTGACGTATCGTCTGCTGAGCCATCAGGTGATACGGTGTTCACAAGTTTCTCGATCATATCGTCTTTTATCGAATTATAAAACAACACTTGCTCCGTCATATTTATACTGTGATATTTACGTGAACACTTTTGAGGTAAAATATTAAAAATAGTACATTAGGAACCTAACTAAAACGTTGATAATTGTATGTGTGTAGCTAGCAATAATAATTAACAATGTATCTGAAGTCCCAAATAATTCAGATTCATTACTTTAGGATGTCGTTGGCGCCAATTTTGCTTTATAATTTAGATGATTAGTCAACTGTCAAGTGTCAAATGTCAATCATCCAAAACTAAAAGGATAGAAGGAAAAGGCGTTTAATAATCTGCCGCATTCGCTACTTCGACTGCCATTAGCGGAGCAGAGACCAGCTCGGAATATTCTGAATTACTAAAAATCATTTAAATTTTGTACAGGTACCCTACATAATTCAGTAAAGTACTGTACATTGCTTCCTTAGCCTGCTGAAATAAATTGCAACAGTATTATGTAACAGGCATTTAATTATATATTTTTCAATAATTTATAAATAAAGTTCAGCAAGTGTTTGCGAAGGATACTTCACGATTACGATCACGTAGTTTCATAGGTTTCTCTTCACTTTTTATTGAAAAGTCACAAATAACGGCTTCTGCGGTAGTAAGTAAAGATGCAATGCCACTAGCATCACTTAGCGCGCTCCTCACTACTTTAGTAGGATCTACGATACCTTTATCGAATAAATTAACAAATTCATTATTTAACGCATCATAACCCCATCCACCACGCATAGATTGCACTTTTGATACAATAACTGGTCCCTCGAGCCCCGCATTATTTGCAATTGTTAAACATGGAGCACTTAGAGCTTTCTTGACAATTTCTATTCCAGTAGCCTGATCTTGATTAATGGGTTTAATTTCTTCAAGAGCAGGAATACATCGTAAAAATGCCACTCCACCTCCCGGGACAATGCCTTCAGCGATTGCAGCACGAGTTGCACTAAGAGCATCGTTGATCCGATCTGATTTTTCACTAATTTCTACTTCGCTACTACCTCCTACGAGCAGAACAGCTACTACTGATTTTAACATTGATATGCGTTCTAATAAGCGCTTTTTATCAAAATCGTTCTTCGTATTTTCAAACTCCACTCGAAGCTGTTCAATGCGCTGCTCTATCTCCTTTCTATCACCTTCTCCTCGAAGCAGCAAAGTCGAATTTTTTGTAACTACTATTTCTCCGACCTTGCCAAGGCTTTCTAATTGGCAATCTTCTAGTCGAATCAAATTAGCGTTATCTTCGAAAATGACACCTCCTGTAGCCGTGGCCATATCTTCTAGCAGATTCTTTCTGTGTTGTCCTATACCAGGACTTTTGACGGCCACAACTGGTAAACCTATCTTAACTTTGTTAAGGACTAGAACAGATAAGGGTTCCGTCTCATAATCTTCGGCTATGATAAGTAATGGTTTTTTATGTGTCCCTGCAATTTCTAGAGCCGGAATTAATTGTTGAGCAGTAAATATTTTCTTGTCAGAATAAAGAACAAGAGCATCATTATACTCAACTTTAGGGCCTTTGAGGGAGTTAATAAAATAAGGCGAAATAAATCCTCGTTTGAAAGACATACCTTCAATTATTTCTAAATCATTCTCTAAAGTTTTACCTTCTTTGACTGCTACAATACCTTCTTTTCCCACTCTACTAATAGCTGCTGTTATAAGTTTTCCTACTGATGAATCACCGTTCGCAGACAATGTGGCGACTTGTTCTATCTCTTCAGGCGTTTGAACTAATCTGGACATTGCTTTTAGTTTTTCTGTGACAACATCAACAGCTAACTTTATACCTTTTCTGATTTCAATTGGATTTGCACCTTTTAAAATACTATCCGAACCTTCCTTCGCTATTGCTCGAGCTAAAACGGTAGCTGTCGTGGTACCATCTCCAGCTTCTTCGTTAGTCTTATTTGCTATATTTTGTACGAGTTTCGCACCAATATTTTGAAATTTATTTTTCAACTCTATGCTTTTAGCTACTGTTGCACCATCTTTAGTTATTTTCGGTGGTCCAAATTTTTGTTCTATAATAACATTACGACCTTTAGGTCCCATAGTCACCGCAACAGCATCAGCAAGAAGATCGACTCCTTCAAGCATTAACGATCTAACTTTAGAGCCAAATTTAACTTCCTTCGCATATAAACGTTGCGTGAATATATGAGTTTTATTTTTAATGTTCAATTGTAATACATATCGTAAATGGAGCATTGTAGCTAAAGTTATAAATTAAGTTTTTTAGAATTTTATTTTCCAATGTCAAGACAATGTAGAAAAAGCATTTATTAAACTGATGTCAATGTTTAAATTTAGAATTATGGTAAAGAATAAAGATATGCAATAATCGGTTTATAATGAGAACTTGCTGTGGCTTGCGCTCAAAAAAAAAATAGTAGCCTATTCTTCCAGACTATGTTCTACATCTATGCCAAATTGCATCAAGATCCATGCAGCTATTCTTGAGATACCTTCAAATAAACATCCATCCATCTAAACATTCGGATTTACAATATAAGTAAAACATAAAATTGGTATATTGGTATTTTTGTGCAAAAGTAATATTTTTGTATACTCTTTGATTTTAACGGTCTCAAACTTTTGAAATTTGAAACTTTACTTTGACACATGTTGTTAAGAATAAATAAATTACATAAAATAACTTGCCATTTTATATCGGTTATTTTAGATAAATTAAAAAATATGAGTGCGACTAAAAAATCAGTGCCCATTATTATCAAATTAGATATCGGAGACCAGTTAACATCCATCTCATGTGGACATATCGTCGTTGAGTTGATAAAGTTTATAGCGTATCAAAGACTTCAAATACCTTATAGTTATCAATGGCTTAAACAGGTTGTAAATAAGAAAAGACAATGCACAGAGGCAAAAGATACGTTCCAGTCTGAAAAACATTTTCACGTGGCTTCTAGTGCTTTGGAAAATTTAGATTTTATAATTAAGGTAAAATTATGAAATTTAGCTAGACTTTAACAATTTAAGAAATTAACTAAGCATACTTAAATGTTAATTAAATAACGTATTTTCTTCATATTACCACTCCAGTATTTTACATTTCAGAGTCTGTTGAAGGAGATAGATGGACCAAGTGTGCCCGAAGAAGTTTGCATTGCTCTGGGCGGTACACCAGTCACAAGTAAGGAGGTTTACCGCCTCCTTCTACCAAGCTATTGTCATAAGTCACAGTGCCATTCCAAGTATATAGCATCAGATCAAAAGATTCAAATGAATGTGTTTAGGTATATCCTCTTTTTTGTTTTCTAATATTTTTTTTAATTAATTATCTTATTCAGATACAGGTAAACCTTTTAAACTTGTTTTAAATTTTTAATATTTCAGAATAAATACATAAATATAACTATTCTTTCAGGACCTTGGTTACATCAGATGTATTGAGCAATGTTTTTCAAAATACATTGCCTCCGACAAACTTGCATGTGTTGTTAAAGAAGAAGATTAGTACATGTGATGTAGTGTGCACTGACAGTTTTGTCTTATCTAATGGGTATAGGTTACCACGGAGTGCTAAAGTTGTTGTTATAGATTTTAGAACTGACAGTCATGAAAATCTTTCGTGTTGCAATAACTTTTCTGTTTTCGAAGAAGTTATTAGTAAAAATATGACTGACTTAAAAATTTGTGATAATGAAAATGATGAAGATTTTAGTGAAATAGAATCGAGCAGTACAATGACTTGGTACCAGTCCTGTTATGTTATGAAAGGATTTAGAGATTGTATTGTTAGTGGCAGTTCTATCACAAATAAATGGCTACATTTGTGATATAATTTTACATTTTTAATTGAATTTCATTATGCTATGAGGATTCTGATTTAGAACAATTTTTCTAATATTTCAATATGAGTTTTTATCCACACTAGTGCTCAATATCTATGCTGTAAATAATTTACGACTCCAGAGTTTTTTAGTCAAAATATCAAAAAAGATTTATTTTACAGAGTTAATACTTCCTTATATTTAAGTTAAAATTTTAAGCAAAAGGCTTAATAATTCTCATAGGTAATATTTAGTACAATCATGTGTCATGCTTATTTTATTATTGCTATTTGTTGACTAGTGGCTAACAGTTTAACTAATTGTGCCATATTTTTATTAGTTTTATGGACTGTAAGTTTAATTTAGACAATTTTATGTTTCATTTGATTGCATAAATATAATCAATTTTACAATAAACATGTTAATTTATTGTGTGCATTTTTATTTGTAAAAATATTTGTACTTAAACCTATTAATGAATTTATGAGAGAGAGAGAGAGAGATTATTAGATTAGAGATTATGGAATCCATTATATTATTGTCTGGATTGTCTGAAAGTAGTGTGAGTTTACACAGATCTTTTTTTTATTCAAACTGAATATATAATGTTATGTGTCAATGTCACCCATAACTTTGGGTAGGCTCCGAGCCCTTCGTTGGGGACATATAGTGAGCTGAAGATGATGATGATGTGACAATGTTGTGTTGCTATAATTTAACTTTTTGTATTACAGCTTTACCATCACCAAAGATAGTTCTCTCTCTAAAATTAATACAGACTTTTTTCAAAGACTGATGTTCAGATCTTATCGTGCAATTTTTTCTCTTGCATTTTTCTAAGGCATTATTAAATTCTACGATTAATTCATTTCTACCTCCATTAGGTCCAACAACATGTTCACATTGTATAGATTTCATTACCATGTCTTTTAAGCAACATTCTAATAATTCATAATATTCCAGCCAGTAATCTTTTGGTAAATGTCTTAATGTAATACCTAGAAATTCTGACAATATTCCTGTTACAAATATATCATCTATCCAAAACTGATAATGATATGGAGCCTCTCGAGTTATAAGAGATGCAATATTGCTTGACATGATGTAGTACCAACCCGATAAATATGGTGGATAGATATTTCCGGAGTATTCTTCTTGTGTGACATACCATTTGTTCTGCTTACTACGTCTAGGCAATGTGTTATTCAACATGTAACCTATTAATAAATTTTTCTCATCTTTTATTTTAGTAATAAAGTTATAAGTTTGATTCAAGTTGAATACAATATCATCGTCAACTTTAAGTATAAATGAAGTGTTACAAAATGTTGATGCCCATTGTAGACCCATGAGGTGTTTGTGTGTTAGGTTTCTATAATCTTCTGTGAAGTCACCTTGTAGTAAATCACCAAAAATGTCACTCTCATTATTTATTGCTTCTTGTGTTATGTATCTGCGAGAAGAATAATTTTCATAAGATTTTTTCACTTAAATTCAAAGATAACCTAATCATTTTTAAAGAATCATCTCTAATGCCAAGCATCATTTACAATTCTTTAACTTTAAGATTGTTTACGACCATTGTCAATAATTTAAGCAAAAGAGTGGTAAATAATTAAACAATAATTAGGTGCTATGCTATAAAACCAAAATTGTAGTAATAAAATTGGCATATGTTGGTAAACATACTTTTCTTTTTTTGGTATCTTTGCCAAAAGAAATATCCTGGTGGCATTCATAGATTTTAAACGTTCAGCCGACATAGCTCTTCGGTGGGCACTCCTAAGTTCTACATGACCCACATAAGAAGTTACAAGAATGACAAATAGACGATTTACTGAAAATAAAAAAACAATATAGTTAATATAAATACCAAAAAAAAAGTTAGGCAAGTAAATAAAACTAAAGTAAATTCAAACTTACAGTGACAAGATACATTGGGTTTAATAACAACATTTCTAATGTAGTGATTGTTTCCTGTTATTGCAATAATTATATTTTCATATTGTTTATTTGAACTTTTATAGACCCAGATTAAGAGACTTAATAAAATTAATGCTACAAAAATTGTTTGTTTTTTACGCATATTAATTCAAATGTGTTTATTCTCATTGTTCGTATCCGACTAGAAGTTTTAGAAAATGCAGTCAGTTTAAGTCAATTTGTTTCGCAACACTATGCCATTTCCGAGACTAATGATATACCTTAACATAATTAAAGTTATATCTTATTTAATAATGTTTTATGTTCATTAGAATTAGTTTTATAAAAAGGTAAACAATAAATAATAAAGTAAATGTTACAATGACATGATTGCGACATTGACGTGACGTACGTCATTTTTCATTTATAATAAACGTGCTAGGCAAAGGCCTAAAATTTAAACAATTTTGAAAAAATCATCTAAGTGTGCATATTTTACAATTTATGAACATACATTGTTTTATGGGTATGTTCAGTATTAAAAACGGCATAATCCAGCATTATTTAATATATTTCAATATTCAAATATAAAATTAAGATTATCACCTGAAAAGCACAGAAGTATATTTATATGTGTGGAAGACAAAATTTAATGAATTAATGGAGCCGCTGGCGAGTATTGTCAAATGACCAAAAATCACACTACTAAAAATAATGCAATCTACAGGCGAAACTGGATAAGCAAGAGTCAAAGGAACCTCGATATTTTGCTCGTTTTTATTTCCCGAGTTTCTTGATTGTAGACGTTGTCCTTCGGGACCGGACAGTAATTCCCACTTTCTTGAAGGTTTCTCGCTAATCCAGGTACGAATGTTTATGTATGATTTACATATTTAGTTAATATTATTGTACCCACAAAATTTTGTAAATACAATGAACAGAATACATATTGTACAGCACAATGAGTAATACAGGTTGTTTTATTTACAGAATATATTTGTAGTTTAAATATAATATAGTTGCATTATCCACGAGCAACATCTACTGATAATGCGCGACAGGACTGGTGTTGTTGCTTAACAAACAAAAACATACTATACGCAGAAGTTTTGCATTTACTGACAAACATTTCAAATACAATCTAGTTACGTACGTAGCGCGAGAGCGCACGGGTGCTGTCGTGTCAGCGCGTGCAGTTCCTCTGTCTCGGGAGCGGCAATAGCTAATTGACGCGTCGCTGGTTGGCAAACAGCCGCTGTCATTTTTATCATTAATAATGAAGTCGTTATCAAGAGTGTGTCGGGCTACTGCTGAGACCACAGGGATCGCATCGGCTCAGTCGTGTGGTAGACATTGACACACGAACGTCTACAAGCACGGGAGCGTACGCGCAATAAGCAAGACTGTTCTCTAGCTACGATACTCGACGCAGACGATCCTTTACCAAACATGGATGTCGAAGCTATGGTTAACGAAGAGGGCGGAGTCCTGAGAGCGAAGATCGTCACTATGGTTACCCTTTTTGGTGTTTCCATGCTCGTGGGATGCGTCCCGATGCTGATTTCGATGAAATTCAATTGGTTCACGAAGTCGACTGGGCCCAATATGAGATCTTCGAATCGACTGGTGATCGGATTATTGTCCTTTGGTGGTGGCGTTTTGTTCGCAACGACTTTCATGCATTTATTGCCCGAAGTTGACGAAAACATTAAATTATTACAAGGTAAGTTGTTTTTTATTTTTTAGTCGACTTCAAAAAGGAGGATTTTATCAATTCGTCAGTATGTTCTTTTTTTTCTATATGTGTATAAGAGAGATTTTACTTATCTATATCTAAAAATCTATATCAATTAATATAATTGTAAGTAGTGTAGCATTTGCGATGCTTATAACGAAAAACCAATTTTAAAAATGTAAGCCACTTTTGCGCGCTGAAGCTGTCGCCGGCGACCGCTACACCTTAATTAAATCTAAGCCAGTTTATATAAATAAACATTTGTGAAATCTATAAATAAACAAAAAATTAGTGCATTTATCACTAATACGCAAGTTGTGAAATGTGTTAATTTCACGCTTGTTATTAACTGGAGGTGTTATCACAAGTTCTTAAGACTGAAAACGATTTTATGATTGGTTTAGAATATTCTTGTAAATACATATTTTGTTAGCTACTTAAATAAAGATATTGTATACAAGGATTCTAATAAAATATAATGGAAAAGAATATATGTTTATACAGTCAGATGAGCAGTGAAATTAAATTAGACATTAGATTTCGCTCAAATAAAAAAAAAACTAACATTTTGTAATTGAACTGTGAACCCGCTGTGTCGAGGCACTTTACGCGCTAAGTTAAAAAGTTTCTGTTTAACATTGATACGAACTTTATTAGTTAAATAGATATACAACATAAATTAATTTATTATCTGTAGTTACATTTGTCTACATCAATTTTTTATTTAATCCCCATTAGTTCTGATAACATTGCATGTTTTCTTTTTAACTTGTTGTCGCCCGCGTCTCCGTCCGCGCGGAGTTATAAAAGAAGATAATGAGAAGCCTATGTGTTCTTCTAGACTCTGTTCTACAACTTTGCCAAATTTCATCAAGACCCGCTTAGCAGTTGCGGAGACCCTTCAATCAAACATCCATTCATCCATCTTAACATTCGCATTTATAATATTAGTAAGAAGTAAGATATAGTATTTGTTTTAATATAGATTATTCAGTCATAAGTTGTTTATATTGCTGTGTACAATTTTGTTAGCCTTCGAAACCTCTTCATTATCATATTCAACTAAATAGGGAATACGCTAATTCTTTGGGTCAACTGACCAGTTTGTCGAGTTTGTTTACCGTTTACCGATATTGCAACAGATATTTGGATACGGAATTATCGTTCCTTATTAAATACATTTTACTAATGTTATTAATGCGATTGTTTGGATGTATATATAGATGGATGTTTGTTATAAAGTATCTCCAGAACGGCTGCATGGATCTCGCTGAGATTTGGCATAGATGTAGAACATAAGTTGAAAGACTTCGTATAAATTCAAATCACATTTAAAACTCTATACTAATAATGTATTACAAACGTCATGAAAAAAACTTGTTAATCATGATATTCAATGATAATTGGACAACCATAAGTTATCTAGTTTTCCGTGCCGTATTAAGATAGGCAACGGAAGCTGCATCTCACAGCCAACTATCAACTTATCTGCCTTCACATATATTACTGTTTACGATATATAAAGAAAATTGTCTAATTACAACCTTTATAATCGGCCTAATGGAAATGTAGCGGCGCGGCGTTAGTATAGGGCGTACTGGGGCGACCGTAAAGGGGCGTCTTCGGCGCCCCCAAAGATTTCCCCCGACACCAAAAAAAGAGAAGGGCGCCGGAAATCTAATACCGGCCATGTGAAGCAATGTATTGCTGGTCCATCTGATGAAAAGTGCTAATTTAAAAAAGATCTCTTAGACGTAACACTTATCGACGAATGGAGATGTAACTATTTTCCTCAGATTTAAAATCAAAAATTAAAATCTAGGTCGAGTCACGAGTGTTTTTCCGACTTAGAATGTTTGTTTCTTTTTATTCGAGCTTTGTGACTTAGCGGTCGTCCGAGATGTGAGGTGTCATTCAATCGCATTCTTCCTCAGAATATATCATAGTCAGCTGGGTCTATTGTTTATTAATTAATCACTCTATATTGTTCTCATATCGATCGTTTGATTCATTAAGACGTGGAAGCGTAACAAATAAACATAAAGACAAGTTTTAATTGTAAAGATGAGGATAGACTAGACATCACAAGCCATGTTTGATTTTATTTTGAGTCTTTTCTTCTCTTGTCTGATAGTTGTTACTTGTTATCCCTTGATGTCTTGGGTTTATGGGCCAGGGTAAAGATAGATGTGTCCATGTGGACGTCAAAATACGTAGATATCTGTCTATGTATTTACATCTTGGTATGATGCAAGTTACGAGGCTGTAGTAGCATTGATTTTCTTTAATTTAAAACACGAATACAATCTCTTTCAAAATACTATTGGAATATCATTCTATGGGTGCATAATCATGACAATTCCTGTGATTTTATGCTGTAGTTTAATCAGCAACATCAGCATCTTTTGTTTAAACCATTGTTCCGTTTTTATCTAAGTTTAGTCCTCTGCTAACCGATAACAGTATGAATTATTCATAGTATCGTACAATACGCTACAGATAAAATCTTAGCTATAAAATCAAGTTTAAATATTTTCCCACATTTAAATATAATAAGTCGGTCTATAATTTCATATAAAAATACAAGTGTCCTTTACATTAAATAATAATAATCTTCATATGTTTGTAACGAATAAACTCAAAAACTACAAGACCGATTTCCAAAATTCTTTCGCTATTGGAAAGCTTCAATATCCCTGAGTAACATAGGCGTAGTAACTAACTTTTAAATAGTGTACAAGTGAGGCCGTGACCCGATGCCAGTTATATTTTAAAGAAAGTCGAATTGCAATGTAGTGATCGTCCTACTTTCTTATCATGTAGTGTACGCGTATTAAGATTATAATCATAGCGATACTCTAATAGGATTAAATAAAGTATATTTGAATGTTTTTTTACATTTATTTAGGACAGTTCACTGGCTTATTCTTCGCTCATTGTCATCTGAAATGTAAATATATCTTCAAAAATATTTAAGTTCATGATTAAAACAGTTATAAGAATTTTGGCTTTACTAATACTTAGTCTAGTGCGCAGTAGCTACCTATGTATCTACTATTAATTAACATAGTGAGTTTGCTCAGTTAATGTTTATTCATCTTACTAATGTTATAAATGCGATTATTTGGATGTATGGATGGTTTTTAGAAGTTATCTCCAGTACTTCAATGCATCTTAATGAAATTTGACACAAATGTAGAATATAGTCTGGAAGAACACAAAGTTTTCTTACTTAGTTTTTTTAATACGCGCTGGGGTTGTGGTTGACAGCTAGTAAACTATAAATATACTATGTAATTGGTACAAAAATAGTTAAAAAAATTGATAGATTACCTCATTAGTTATTGTCTTTCGTAACGAATGTAACACGAAACGTAAAAGTAATTTATTGTGTAGATAACTTGTGAATTAGGTCTTTATGTAAATTAAAAGACGATCGTCTTAAATCTTAATGTACAATGTTAAAAGATTTCACATTCTTTTGCTTACTTTTGCAATTGCGAGCAATTTTAACAGTGGTAGAGCCCGCTTTAACACCTTCCGCACGAACTGGCCCGGCTCGCCCGGTGAAATACCACGACCACACAGAAGACAGGCGTCAAGTGGAAGCAATTCCGCGTTTCGTCTGATGAGTGTGCGTCCCGGAGGCCTAATTTAGTCCTCTTTCCCTTCCCACCTTTTTTCTTATAAGGAAAGTATGGGAAGTGGAAGTGGACTTTTCGGATAAGAGGATGCATGGGAAGGGAAAATATTGTCTTTCTGTGCATCCTCTCTTCTGTCAATTAAAGGTAGGCAATGCATATGCAATTGCGTATGTCTGTGGGCAACGGTAATTTCGCTATTTCAGCGATTTCAGGTGGCCGCTCGCTCGTATGCCACCTTATGATATAAAAAAGAGTATAAAATATTTTTTTTTAATAAAATACAATTTAGGCGATTCGTGTATCAGTTATTACCAATTATTTAGTTTAACAATAAGCATTCTTATATCTATAATTTGGCAATAACAATTGATTGGGCAATACGGATTATTTTTATCTACAATATCTAACCGCTTTATCAAGTACCTCGAAATCCAAACAAACACATATGTTATTTTCTTCGGTGCTGTTTGAATCAGTATAGGTACATATGCATTTTTAATCTCCATATACATATATAAAATCAATTGCTGTTCGTTAGTTTCGCTAAAACTCGAGAACTGCTAAACGGATTTATCTTATCTTGGTCTTGAAATCTTCTTCTTCTAATTTTTTTATATTATAAGGTAGCAAACATGCGGCCACTTGAACCCGCCGAAATAGCTAATCGCCCGCTGCCAATAGACATCGACAATTGCAGATGCGTTGGATATGGAAATGCAGGAAAAGAATATTTTCCCTTCCTATGTGTAAACTTCTCCGTCAAATCAAATATATAAGAGAAGAATAAAGCATCACTTATGTCTTAAAACCATATATGTTTGGTTTATAACATTTTTAAACGTATCAAACTAAGCTTAAACAAATGTGTATACGGTAAATACAGTAGTAAAGATTAAATAATTTATGACCCACACAAGAGATAAACTCATAAAGTTATTAAAAAACTAATTCCGCCCGCGCGGAATTAAAAAAAACATAATTACTAACCTATGTGTTCTTCCAGACCATATTCTACATGTGTATCAAATTTAATTAAAATCCGTACAGCGGTTCCGGCGATACTTTCTAACAAACATCCATCCATCCATCTATCTAAACATTCGCATTCTAATACTATTATGATTGTGTGCCTGTCTGTATGTTTTGTACGTTACTAATCTTCAAACTAATACATTAAGTAGGTATATTCCAAAAGCAGTAGACCTATCAAGACTTGTACTTGAAAATAGTTTGAAGGTACAGAGTTTAATCTTGGTTTCTACAGGCAAAATATTTGTACAAAAGATATTGTTATGTACGAGTGTTCCGCATCTTTATTATGGATACAACTAAAATACACATACGATTCGCAATTCGCCTTTGTTTTCATTATATTCTTAATATATTTTTATCCTATCTTATTATTGTCTTTTGATAATTTATTCAAACATGCGTAAGTACTAAAACGTCATTTATTTGCAATAAGATTTTTAAAAGTTAAATCATATTTATTATTTAAAGATATGAATTATTTTTGAAAATGCGCTAGTTTAAAATACATGGCAAGTTATAAGTCGTGGTATTTAGTGCCTAAAATGCCTGTAAAACGAATGTGTGCTTTTAAAAAGGAAAGAAGCCAAAGGTGTTACTTCCAAACAGTGACTTGTCCTATTGGGGACAGTCATCATCATCATTATCAGCTCACTATACGTCTCCACCGAGGGGCTTGGAGCCTACCCTAAGTTAAGGGTGATTAGGCCATAGTCAACCACGCTGGCCAAGTGCGGGTTGGTTGACTTCACACATATCTTTGAATTTCTTCTCAGATATGTGCAGGTTGCACCACTATCTTTTCCTTCACCGTAAGAACGTCGGATAAATGTAAATACATATGTAAATTGGAAATCGAATAACACATTGGTACATGGCGGGATTCGAACTCAGGACCTGTAGATTGCAAGTCAAGTCTTTGACCCCTGAGCCACCGACGCTCTTCATTCATTGAGGTCAGTGGGGTCTTAGTATTATTCATTTGTTCTTCCTGCTTTTCCTTAGCTGACAAGATTAAAGGAAATTTCTTTAATCTACGGCGAGTACTATCATCTCATCTTCGCGCTTTCGGTACTTAAGTCTACTCACGTACGATTTATCTGAATATAGACTTAAGATATGACACTCAAATTAAAGGATGTATCGTGCTCTTCTTTTCGTATAATTTATCACAAGATCTGTCAAAGATTATGCTACTTGAGAATATAAAGTAATGAAATCCTATCCTTTGATAAGTAATATTTAATTTTTAATCGACGTTATAAAATTGAATTCCTGTTTTGACATCAATTTCTAATTATCCGACAGAAAGAACCACATCTCTTATATATCTTAGGAGCTGTAACCAGGGTCGGTGTTAGAATAGGGCGCGGTTGGGCTACATAGAAAGAAGCGCCACACGATTGCGAATAACATAGTCTCACAATTAACTCTTCTTAAAAACCCTTCTTCTTATAAAATAGGGCGTCGTAGAATCTCTTAGGACCTAGTAAAGCTTAAACGACTTAGAAATGGAAACTCTATGAAAATCAAGACATTTGTATTAAAGTTATGACTGTCGAGCTTTTTCACTTTCTTTCCAACATACACATTCCTGTCTAATCATGACAAACAAAATATGTTGCTTTGTCAAATGTTATTAACATCAAATACAACAGAACAAAACAGCATTAATAAACAATTATTATAATAACTAAGATTACTATTTAAGATATTGGTGACACGTTTTATAGGAATTAAAAGATATCTGAAGAAGAGCAATAACTAATTACCCTCAATTTTATATAGGTTAGAGGTTTAATTCAATTTTTAAGGTTAAGGTACTAAGACGTAGGATTTTACGTATATATAAATGTCAAGTTAGAATGTGGGTGGCTCAGGGTTCAAGCACTTGACTTGCAGGTCCTGGGTTTGAATGCCGCCATGTAGGAATGTGTTTTTCGATTTACATATGTACATTTATCCGATGTTCTTACGGTGAAGGAAAAACATCGTGATGCTGCATATATCTGAGAAGAAATTCAAAGTTATGTGTGAAGTCAATCAACCCGCAATAGGCCAGCGTGGTTGACTATGGCCTAGTCATCCGTAACTTAGGGTAAGCTCCGAGCCGGATGATGATTAATGTCACACGAAGCCCTTAAAGATTTATTATTTGAAAGATCAACTAAACGACACTAAATGACAGTAAAAATCCTAATCTTTCCAGAAAGCGGCGAACTCCGAGAGCTACCAATATATTTAGCCGCTCTGATCATGTGTAGCGGTTTCTTCATGATGTACTTAGTGGAGGAGCTGGTGCACGTTTACATTAACAGTCGAGAAAACAAGACGGCAAACACGAGTTTCACAAGAGTACTGAGCATAAGAAGAAGTAGCGAAGAAGCTAGTAACATAGAAGAGAAGATTGCAGCTAACAAAGAGGTAGAAGCAGCAAGACACCATGGTCATAGTCACATAACTATGGATCCAGCGGATGATACGATTGTTGCAGCTTTACGGGGTCTGCTCATTGTATTAGCGCTGTCAATTCACGAGCTTTTCGAAGGCCTAGCAGTAGGATTGGAGTCTTCATCGAGGAATGTGTGGTATGTTTGTTTTGTTAGTCAGATATTTGATAAAAATAGATTTAGTTTTTTTTTACAGTAGTACATAAACATAAATTATCTAATTCAGAAAATAGAAAATAAAACACTGACAATAGTTGTAGTACGTAAAACATAATTTCATTTACTGTCTTGGAAATGTTGCGAAATATTATAGAATATATGTATTTAATGGTCTCAAGTGCATGAAAAAGTGACAACGGAAGCCAAAAAATTGTTAATCTATTTTTGTTGAACATCTGCTTTTCGATAATAAAGAAAGTGTGGGTAGTCACGTAAGTTTTATCTTTCGGTTATCGCACATTGATCTGCCTCTTAAAATGCAATCTCTGTTCATCTCCTTAATCTTTGACGAAATTGTTTGAAAACTGTCAAAGATTAAGCACTTTAGAAATCAACGGAAGTCGCATTATGGTAGCTTACAGCTACTTGCACATGTACAAAATCATATAGATAATGTGCAATGAACAGTACATACAAAGGATGATATTAGGTTTCGACGGTGAAAATTTACGATAAACAAAAAGACAAGAATACATACTAAAGTACACATTTTTATAAGTAGCAAATAATACGTGTAACGCTATTTTGAAATTGTTGTATCAGATTATTATGTAACATTTACTGCCACAGTCACGGTTAAATGGTAAAATCCCTTAGTAGTTATTTAGTGTTTTACTACTCTGAATGGCATTTAATCTTTGACAGATCTTTCCTGCTAGATACAAAAAGATGAGTGCATTTTCGATGTCATTTATATCTAAAACAGATATCTGTAAAAAAGATAAATCGTACGTGAGTAACATCAATGAATGAAAATAATCAAGACAACATCCACATCAGAATAACCTTATTTTAGAAGCAACTTAATTTCAATCCCAGACCGTTAGTTTCCGAGAACAAAATCTCCGTTCAAAATATGTTGTTATCTCTGTTTTCTTCGAAGATAATGACAGGGATAACGATATATTTTATACAGAGATTTTGGTGTCAGAAGAGATGAGTGATTCTCTTTACCAATAGACACGACATGAGACAACAAAACTTAATTAAATATTAAAGCAGTGTTTCGAAATAGAAAAATAATTATTTAATTTGATATTTCAGACAACTTATTTACTCTATAAACATTTTAGATCAGCACGTATTAAATATTTACGTATTGCATTTATATACGTAGTTAATATTAACATTACTAACATTCATTTCAAGTTCTCGTAAGCACACAAGTGATTCTTAGACGTCAGTGGGTGTAGTAGTCAGTGCAGATTTATTTGATAATTGCTACTACCACCATCTGTTATTACAGTTTAGTAATAATTATAAATAGACTAGCTCGCCCACGAATCGGTCTGCGAGAAATTAAAAAGAAACTTAGTCTATATATTCTTCCAGACTATGTTCTACATTTATATTTCATCAAGATCCATGCAGCAATTCTATTGATACCTTCTACCAAACATCCATCAATGCATCCAAATATTCATAATATTAGTAAGATGGAACATGAGTCTCTTAGTCTACAAATGCTTAAGAAACTTCATATTAAAGACTTAACCGTAAACACTCAATTGATTACAAAATGTATGAAAAGTAGATTGTTCAGTTCGCATTGACGTATTTTAGAATTTTACCATTTAATTTTAAATTTAAACCATAGTCCGTATTTTATAATTAAAATAATGGTAACCCTAGTGATAGCGGATAATCCAAATGACAGTGTCTCCCGCCCGCGCTCCCAATCTTAATCAAAGTCATATCCGTTCTGATATTACGACGTGTATGCGGGAATTCCTATGAGCAAAAGGTTCAAATAGCATCAAACTTAGCCAAACACCATTGTATCCTACTTATGGTAAAAAGTATGTTTGTTAATTATTTTAATATAAATACATGCTATAATTAACTTTTTTGATGTCTACATATAGTTCAGACATTATCCTTTTAAGTTTGGTAGGTATTTAAAATTACCAAAAATCATTGAATATTATATATATTTTGATTTTGTCACATATTGAAGCTTAACGGATCTAGTTGAAATTTAGAAAAGACTAGCTGTCGCCCGCGACTCCGTCCGCGTGGATATATAAAAAAACTTAATATATAGATAAGTTATATAAAATTTTCAGCCATATCTGTTAAGCCGTTCTTGAGTTATAGTGTAACTAACATGACTTTCTTTTATATATAGAATAGATAGATATAGTCAAGAATAGCGTATAACACGTATTGATTGAATCGTATGAATTGACGTATAAGAAGTTATCCTTACGAAAGGTTAGTAGCAGGGTCAATTTGAATCGAATTTAGTCATAACAAGAAAGCTTACGCTATTTAAGGATAAAAACCATTTGCGGAGCTAGTAAGAAAAAATACATTGTTCATTGAAAATAATCATTTGTCACTCAACCAATTATTTTATACTGCAATTTTTCACGATCAACACACCCTTAAAAACATTTTGTGTTATCTCAATTTTATTGAGCATAAAGAAAGGGATGACGATATGTTGTATTAATGTTTCTACAGTCAAATATGAATATGGTAGGACTTAGTAGAAAACTCGTGAAACGGAATCAACTAGTTGACAATGTCGTAATGTGGTATTATTAAAAATTACATTTCTTTTCAGGTACATGTTCGGTGCGGTGTCTGCGCATAAATATATCATCGCATTTTGCATCGGCGTGGAATTATTGGCCGCGGGGACTAAACGGTGGCTATCCGTTGTTTACATTTTCACATTTTCGTTCGTATCAGCACTGGGTATAGGTGTGGGTATTCTACTGGTGGGTGGGGCTGGCGCTGCTGCAGCCGGACTTTACTCAGTTATTTTACAGGTAACATATTTTACTAGCAGAGACATACCCTGATTTATGTATTTTCTATTAAATTTTAAGAACAATTACTTATACAAGGTTGTTAGGCATGAGATACTCATCCTGTCAAAAGAACACAGATAACACAACCTCTTTTTACTCTTTACTATCTCTTTTATCAATCAGTTTCACTTACAGATTTATTAATTGTCGTTACAATTTGTTAACGTAAATACAAAAATTTCAAATTTAGTTGTTAATAATAAGATCAATGTGATGTAAAATCTTAGAACAACCTTTATGAATATTCTGTATTGTTGTTTAGAATTTAATAATATGAGTCAAGAATTAGCGTGACGAAGTTAGAAAAGTATGTAAATAAATTAATCTGTTATTTAAAACCAGAATGTCCCAAATACCTTATTATAAATAATATTCAACAAAAAAAATCTCATTAACTGAGTATTTTGCAGCTTGTATTCTAACAGGCGCTTTAGAATTATTTAGGGGTCAACAAAGGAGACCCCTAAACACACAAGATTCATTTTCTTTTAGACTACTAGGTACATCAAACGTTCTAACGTAAAATTGTATTTTGATACATTTTGTATGGCCATACCATATTCTATGTATTGGAAAGATATTAAAATGTTTGTACTTACATTCCAGGGTCTGGCATGTGGTACGCTAATGTACGTGGTGTTCTTCGAGGTGTGGCGTCAGGACAGAACAGGACTATCACAGTTCCTGTGCTCTATTGGTGGCTTTACTCTCATGGTCTGCTTGGAACTGATCGTTGAGTTAGGTATGTATTCCTCTCCATGTCAGCCTTCCTGTTGGGAAATGGGACAAGGATAACGAAGGAAAGGGATGTGTTGAAAGAGCTTTTTGTCACAAGTATAGTATTGTACATTTACTATAAGTTGTCTATCATGGCTTGTTTATAGAGTTTTGCTATTCCACTATGAACAGTTATTTGTCGAAATAATTAGCTAAAAACTCAGTATGAAAATCAAGATAATTTACTTTAATATTAAATATCCAGAAAGTAAATAAGAACTTCACGAACGACCGCGATTTATTTGCAAATAACAAAAACTGATTATGTACATTTTTTGTTTCAGCGGCGTAAAGAAGATACATCGAGACATAATAATATTGAGATTGTGATGGACATTACATTTATTTAAGTTAACTTATAAGATTCAAATTGTTAAATAAAGCGTTTAAATTATTAATATTCTTTCCATTTATTATTATTTTGTAAAGAAAAGAAATGAAGAATACAAAATTTTAGGTTATAAATAATTCTCACCTTTTTAACTCCGGCAAAGGACAAAGGAATTTTCTGTCTGAAGTCACGCTACTTTTTTCACATCGAACGTCTTGGTATACAAAAATAAAACACATTTTGATATTTTATTCAAATCAATAATTTAATTAGAAATTAACATTTTACTCTAACTGTAAACATTATTTGTTTTTTTTTAAAGAAAATAGACAATTTCTATTTTTTTTTCTATTATTTTTTTTTATATATTATTAGGCAGATTATACATAGATACGCAGGCGGCTCAACACACCTAATGGTTACGTTATAGCGCTTAACAAAACTCTATGAGATAAGAATTTAAATATTTTGTTATTAAAATATCTTTACTTAGATTAACATGTGTGCTTCGTCACACAATCTTAACTAGATTGAGAGAAAGATATAGAGAAAATTCCGAAAAAACACTTATTACTAATTGCTGGTACATGAGTATAACCTTTAAGCCAACACCAATAACATCCTTTCTATATCCAATACGTCTAAGGCCGGCACATTTCATCGTCCTTACAACAACATACTTTTAGTAATAATAAAGTTTTAAATGCTCAACTATCTAATAAACTATTGCATTTTTATTATGTCATAAATTACTATAAAATTTATTCATTTTAACGGCTTTAACGATTCAAATTTGAATAATCTGTAATATACATAGATTATAAATACTTCTATCGGTCTGTGGTCTGGATTAAAACGTAATTATAATAATAAATAACAATAATTAAAATAAATTACGATACTACCACTTACAACTTAATACTAAATACAAAATAACATTTCTCAAAGATTAAAATAATTCAGGCACCATTTCCTTAATCTAAAAAAAAGAAAAATAAAAGATAGTTGAAGAAAAAAAAATGTTTCCACATTTCGAAAAAACTTTTAATGATCTACGTTTAATATAGGAAGAATTAATTAGTAATCACATTTTGACTGTTAACTTTTTTTACTTATTTATAATTTTTAGGTCTACCCAAGGTTGGATAGATATAACTTCAAAATTGTTTCTATAGAGCTAATTGGTACGATTCTAATTGTGTCTATTTTAAACGGATAAAATAGTAACAATACTTTGATAAGAATGTGATATTTCAAACAGTTTTTTTGTTGGTTATATAAGTGTTTTAATTTTTAAGACTATGTCGATATGCATTTATTGAAAACGTTCTATTTTTTAATTTTCCGTCAAACAGAATTTTGGCACATTACAGAAAAATAACATAAGATAAAACAACTCGTATTGCCTAAGTCTCAAAGAAATTAAAACCTCCTGCAAAAGTCAAGTCAATAATTTAAAAGATACAAATTAAAAATTGAAATGTCAGATTGCATTATTTTTTTTTGATTAATTAGAACAAAAAAATATAAAAGTATCTTATTTTTGAGCCAATTTTAATGTCTTTGTCGATTTTTAACTTATTTAAATTGTGTTTTTCAAATTTAATAATTTTTCGCGTATATTATGGACTACAAATCTCCAAAAAGCGCTTGTTACTTCCTAATTTTCGTATTGGAATGTAAGCAGTAAAACTGTTAATTTATATAAGTTAAATGTGGCCCTATATTTCTCGCTAACTCAGCGTGAATGTACTTTTTTCTTCATTCTTAACCGCACGGTTCTTTATATTGATTTACAGTCATACATACTAAAGGGGATGAACGGTTTTTTGACATTAGATTTTAAAATTTTAACAATTCCTTATTAAATTAGAAAATCTTAAAAGGGTTGTTTTTCGTAAAATATAAAAAAGTAACCAAATATTTTTTATTTTCATTGAAAAAAATCCACGAAAATTAGGTAGAAAAAGAAATGGAACACGTATTTTTTCTTTCTTCGCCTTATAGTGTTTATATAAACCGTTCATCCCTTATTACTTACCCAGGACAGAATCCGTTATGTAAATTGACGTTAACTAAACCAATATTATACTAAAATACCATTGTTTAGGAATAAAATGTAAGATTCTTCAATTAAATTGTTAATCATACGAAAAATTAAAAAAAACTGAAGCAACTTTTGTTTAGCACAGATGTATCATAATTTCCAAAAACGTGAAATTAATATACATTGCACTTGCAAATCTTGTTTACTATGTTTTAGGAACGTTATATTGAATTTTAGATATGATTTCTATACAATTAGCGATTTTTTTTTGCATATGTAATGTTTAAATTAAATCTATGCGTGGTTTTCAACTGCCGTAACATCTGTACACAAAAAGTTCTTGTCATTTTTTTTTAAATTCGTGTAAGGACATTATTTTTTGTAACCAACACACATAATATATAATTATTTTTCAAGAATAAGATTAAGAATCTTTATTTCGTATGATTATTGATTGTTAACGTCAATTTAATAAAATTCGATCACAAGCCGGCTGTTTAAGATTTGAGCAATTTGTTCGCTCGCTGGTTAGCCACCGCTATGCGCGTCTCATTGCTCTCACCCTATAAACATTTAAAATTAATTAAAATATGACAAAGAAAGTTACGTGGAATATTTACGATATAACCATAATGAAATGCTAATTAATAAGACTACTTTGAAAATGTTTACATATTTACAAAATTTACTTTGTTACATTTGTTTTTGCGGTTTTTTAAAGTAAATATAGCAAAATTTAATAATTTTTTACAACGCTTTTAAAATAAAACAAATATAATTGTATAATTTTTAATCTTTTTAAACTTACCATTTGTTAAATTTATACATCAAAAAAAATTATACAGAAAAAAAAGTATTTCACCTTTATCTTGGCCAGTAATAAATAAAAAAAAAGTTCTATAAAAGATCACATATAAAGCATAGAGTATGCAAGTTGCTTTAAAAGTGCAAAGCTGTGTTTAAATTATATCTCTTAAATTATTTTAATAAAAATAATATACTTACTGTCCACGCCGTCTTGTGTTTGGTGTCTATGTGTACTGTATGTGACTGTCTCGTGGTATTTGTTTACAATTTACTATAATATATACAAGGCTATCCAACACATTAATTTTAAAAAAATATTTGTAATTAAATTATATTGTAATGGTAAAGGATTTATAGAAATAAAAAAGAACTCAAATACAAACTATTTTTTTTACATTTATTACAAAATAAATAGAACCACTAGAAAATAATACACTAAGTATTTTTTTAATACATTTCATTAAATATATTGACTATTTGGGTAATTCCTTAATATCAGATAACTAATATTATTGGAAATAATTTGCCTATATTTACGTATGTGCTTTTATGAATTCTCTGTACAATCAAAATGGCGTCTCTAATTAGAGATTAATTAAAATATGTTAGAACTAACAGATGAGAACATTTCTGTATACTTAAAATTAATTAATTCCAAAATATCACACTCCCGACACGCCTCTCATCAGTTTTCCTAGCTAGGCAATTTTTATTGTAGACATATATCTGTTTTAGGGTCACCTCCGGTTTGTTTTGATAAAAGATGAAGAGTTCTATTTTTAAAAAGCGTTTTTTTATAATTATTGCTTTTAAATGGAAAAAATAAGTAACACATTTCTCTTTTAAACTTGCAATTATTGAAACTAAATTAAAAAAAATTGACAAAGAATTTTTATAATTCTAAGATTTTATTTAAGGTTTTTTTTACAAAGAATGTTAATAGTTTTAGGAATATAAGTAAGATTTATTTGTTTATAGTGCAACTCGAAAAAAAATTGTCGATTGCAGAGATGACAATTATATTCAACTATGTAAAATAATTTAAATTTGTAAAAAAAAATTGAATCAATATAATAAGCGTTAACCACTCCGTAGAAATTTTTCATAAATTTTTTATTCAGTTTACAAATAACAGTACTAAATGAAAATAAAAAAAAGTAAAAAAAAAAACAATATATCTACTAATTGTAATACAAAAAAAAAATAAGTTATATTTTAATTTTCAATAATTTATATGAATACTGGCCTAAGCTATTTTTTTATTTAAGAAGCAATTTGTAATAGGAATAGTTTGAGGTTATGTCTTTTGAATGCTGTCAACATTGGAACAGAAATGTAAATGACAATGTAGTGTTTGTGTTGTCTTTGGGCGCCATCTTCGTTTATTTGAGCAGCTCATGGGCGCGCTGGTTCGCCAACGTTATCCTCGTTTCATTCGATTCACCCTAAGGTACAGAATTCGTTCTTTCTTTTTCTATTCCATTCTATCATGTATTTGTAATACTCTATACAAACTTATAAAAATCTATTCAAGCCACATTAATATAAAAAAAAATCCTTTGGAAAATAATTATTAAAAAATTTACGAGATATTTGTAAATAAATTCACTTTTAAATAATTTTTTTATGTTTTAAGCTTTGGCTTGGATAGATCTTACTTTTTTGTTGTTTGAAAAACATTTTGTAGAGTTTTAATAATATTCAAGGATTGTTAGTATCAGTTTAGTTCCACAGATAATGAAGTGTGAAGTGGTTAAATGTGTTACGATATGACATTTCTCGTGTAAGAACATTGTTATGATATTAATACGTTATACATTCCCTGCCTAGTTATTTACATAGTGCATGCATTTAAAGCATGAGCAAAGCTTTTGGAGAGGATATTGTAACATACCATTCCGATATGAAAGCGTTAGGCAACGACTAAGGCCGAGCTAGTTCTGACAGTTAAATGTTAGTAGAATATTTATAATCTGTATTAAATGTCAATGTCATTTACTGGTTATACTTAGAAAGTAACCTTAAAAAGTGCTTTTATGTTTAAGTAATTAAAAAAAAATGTGAATTCCTTAAGATTAAGATGTAACCTCTGCAATCGGCGGTTTTAAAGACCACGAGATAGTTGGTGTGTATGTTTCTGTGTATGTGTTGCGATGTCTACTTGAGGAGCTCGTGCGCGCGCTGGTTTGCCACCCTTATTCTTTCATCGTTTGATTCACCCTAAGATATAGAAAAAAAAGTGTTTTTTGTTTTGTTTCACAGTAAACAGTAACCCTAACATAAATTGGGGAATACGAATTGTACCAATAATTGAGAGGCGAATGATCCATAGACAATCTTTAGCTATCTACGTGACATCTCAAACTATGAAATACAAAACTCACACAGATTATTTAAGCAACAATTTCTAGATTTTTTTTTCAATCGTCACACAAAAACATCAAACTAAACAGATGAATGGTATAGGGGATTTTATAATACATTTATTTTTGCTTCTATTTGAATTAGAATCAAAACTTAAAAAAATATTCATAGGCTTCAAAAAAGTTGGATATGTTTGTCTTTTTTTTTAATAAACTACATTAGTTTATAGAAATACGAATTGGAACATAAAATGTTTAAAATGCAATATTATAAAATTGCAATATAAATTCAAGATAATTAATGGTTCAAGATTAATTTATTGGTTCAACTGACTTTTTGCCTTATAGCTTATAACTTATGGATATAAATTAATAAAAACATAGGGATGTTCTAATAAACTTAGCATGAGTGTTAGATATGTTGATATCGGATTAATCCTAAAGATTTTTTAGCAAATCTGACATAGACTAGCTTGTGATACCTTATCTGCTAGTTTATTACTGTTTGAGTTAACTGAGATTTTGTGTCCAATGTATTGACATCGGCCTATTGCACCTATTAACTACAATAATGAAAGGAATCATGCTTCGAGTGAACAGGAAACTATAGACATTCCACTAAGCTAAATCTTCAAGTATTAGTACAAGCGATAGAATATTGAGGACAACAACAGGAACAAGATAACCACAAGAATGACGCCACAATGCAGTAAACACAGAAGTCCCATCAAAATTAAATATAGAATTAGTCTAAAATTGATGAATTTTCAATTCTAATGGGACTTCTGTAAATACTGATTGTTATACTACACACATATTTAACATTCCATCTACAATCCTAAACTACCCAAGTTGAAATGTTAATGAGAGGAATTTCGTTAGTAAGAAAACTCCTTGAATTTTATAATAATATACAATTGTTAAGATTTACTTAAAAAAATAGAGTATTTAAATTTATAATATTCACAAATAAAAAATCTTTGTATAATAAAAATATTAGCTCGTCATTTAACAAATATTTTGCAAATATTTTTTTTACAAAAAAAAATACTTATCAAGTGATTGCGCTGTTACAAATTTAAATTGTTTTTTATTTTTTATTACAGTGTAAGTAAACACACACAAATAATTACCTATTTCAACCTTATCAATTATTTTGAGCAATAATATTTATGTCACATTCGCTTAAGAGGACAGATTTCAATCTTCACTCCCATATCTAATCATTATTGTCGTGTCTGAGTTCTATTCACGATGATTTTTTTAGATATAACAATACTATGACTCACAATATTACACTTTTATCATTTTCGTTATGATATTTCCATATTCATCATTATAAAATAAAATGATAACTGCTTTATAAATAGTGGAGGGGGAATCCTGTTCGGTAGTTCGCGTCATTTTGACAGTCAGTTGCGGCAAATGGAATTTGTACCACGGAATGGACTTTTTATCATGTAACTTGCTGTCGCCTGCGACTGCGATCATCATACATCTGTGTCAAATTTCTGCGTGATCCACGCAGCTGTTATTGAGATATCTTCTAACAAACATCCATCCAAACATTCGCATTTATAATATTAGTAAGAATTAAGATATATTATATCTGGTTAGTTGAACAGCGCAATCACCTGTTTATTAAATAATTCCGTTTTAAATTGACGAGTTTCGTATAAATAAGGGACATTACCTTGCGATTGATGCGGTCGATCTGGCGATTCTGGTTCTCTAGTTCGGAGCCCATGTCAAGCGCCATATTGCGCAGATTTCCGATCATAGTGTTCACCTGACCCATGTTCTCTTCCATCTCGTCTTCGCGCGCGTCATTCGTTATTCTGGTATTTGAGAAAACTATGATGTGTAAATAACGTATATAATTTTGACACTCGTATTTTTCGTAACATTTTTTGGGTACATGTATCGGCTCGACCGGTGAAATACCACAACCAAACAGAAGATAGGCGTCATATGGAAGCATTTCGTTACAAGTTTAGTCTGATAAATGTGCGTGTCGAAGTCCTAATTTTAGTCCTCCGAAGAATGATAGAATTTTACTGTATTATGTATTAGATTTTAATATTTGTCGTGTAACACTGACCTGCCTATATAACCAGCCTGCGGGCCGATGCCGTTCCTCTCGTCCATCACGCGCTGGGGTTGGTTGTTGACTACCTTGCCGTCGTCGTTGCCTTTCCAGGTGCCATCGTCCTCCTTGAACGAGGCACCCCTGAAAAATTATATGTCCATTTGTACAGTTTATTTGAATAAAATTGGATGAAAATTACCAAAATTCTTTCTCGTCCGACCTTTATTGAAATGAATATAATCCAAAATTAATGGGACATACTTATTGCATGGCAGAACACAGATGCCGCAGCACTTCTCCATCCCCGAAAGATTCTTCTCGGCCTCGCGCATATCGGCGTTGATCTGGTCCATGCCCTCCTCGATCCTATCCAATTGCTCTGTCCACACACACATACATGATCGCTTTAGGACCGCCCTTCACAACACTCCGCGGAAATGTGTAAAGCGCCTAACCTTTAAATTCAACTACGCGACCAATTTACTTTTCATTATGATTCGAGTTCTTTAAATATTTTTATCATTTTTTAAAATTTTACTTTGGGTAAATTCTCAACGCTCTCGACAATAACCAAGATGAAGTGCAAGACAAGATCTCTCTGTTTGTATTATAATGGTTTTGTAGTGTGGTCTAAAATCATGCTGACAAAACATCGAAGCGGCTCTATCGAGTTCAAAGCGACTAAAGACAGTTTCGTGTCGTCTCGTTTGAGTTTTGCTTGTCTGTTTATTTGTCTCACACTTGATCTGGTTCGATATTAGCTAGCTAGAATTAAAATTTACCTTTTAATATGATGTATGTGCTGATACTGAGTGATACAATACTAAAAACTCGTAATGACTAACATATAGATATTAATAATCTCAATACTAAAATCATGCAAATAACAGCGAGATTAGAAGTAGACGTGCATAGCTAGATGCGTGAAAAACTAAAGAAAATAATTCATACTGTCTGATTTATTGAGATGATTGTTAGGTCGCGTCGGGCCGTGCCGCGGCGAAACGACCCGTGCCGTCTATTCACTGATCAAAATATTGTTGGTGATGGTGAACAAGTCTGTACTTCCCGTTATCGTCCGTTGAAGTACAACTGTTAGCATTTTTCAATCGATCAAATATTTAATTCATCGCTATTCAATGATGTCACTTAGGTTTGAATCGGCATTTCAGACACAAGCCTTACTATTTATGGGTGATGTAAAATAATACTACTGGATGCTTACCGCCCTGTTCATCCAGCATGACCAGGGTTCTCATGCCCACCTCGTGACTCTACAACACAATAATGATGTCACTATAGCTCGCCAAACAACGCGCGGCGAGCGGAGCGGCCACGGCGCGCCCCCCTCGCGCGATAAAATCAAAAAACTAAAGAAAAAATAAAATAAATGAGCACGGGCGTGAGGCCACTCCTCCCGCGGTCGCGTCAAAAAAAAAACAAATCAACTTAGCAAATGAGCATATCGATAAAAGCCATTCCTAAATGAACGGTGATAATAGCAAAGTCGGTTAGTCGAAGAAGAGAAATGATCCATGTAAGATGTAGTGTGGAGGAGCGAGCGGCGGCCTCGCAGCCGAGCCTGCCTTCCTACTGCGCTAACACTGACAGTACGCTTAGCCATGGACAAGGCCGCTCTACCACCGCGTGCTAGAGCTATAGATAGCGGCCGCGGCTCGCATCGCGGCAGTACCGCGCATTGTAAGAGAAGAGAACAGTACATTGGGAAAGAGAAATAAACATACCTATAAAAAGCGTTCCGATCAAAAAACGAAAATTCAACGGAAGAACTAAACAGATTGCGCAGCTCACACAAATTAAATCTTCAGCAAAAGATAGAGGTAACAGTCTTTTGCGACATTTAGCAACGAACGGCCATCGGGCTTATCTATATACACTATGTCGGTAAAGTCATCCCCATCGAAACATAGAAACACACGCAACATCGAACTGAGACAAGTCGTTATTCAAGAGAAACGTCAAAGAAAAAACAAAGAGTTATTATTTTACTGCACATTCAACACAGACGTTCTCACGTTTGGACTACCCAGTGTTAGTAGGTCTTACCGCCCTGGTGACTCAACATATGAAGCGCTTGCCCCCCGGCGTCCTCGCTCTATACATAAAATACAAATCAAAATAATATATCGCAGGAGAGAGTATCGGGGTGTGTGGCGGGTGGCGGGTGGCGGGTTGCGGGGTGCGGTGCCGGAGAGGGCGCGGCGCGGGCGCGGGCGCGGGCGGCGCGGCGCGGCGGCGTGCTGCGTGCCGGCGTGCGTGCTGCGTGCGTGCGTGCCCGCCGCGCTATCACACACTACTCGACCAACAACCACATGCATGCAGTGAAGCTTGCAAGTAAAACCAGACTCAGTTTTATCTGTGCGCAGTTTCATATGATTCATGATAATTCTGTGTGATGTTTAGAGTCGTGCGTTGAGGAGAAGCGTTTCGAATTTACATCGCTCGTTTAAATCGATAAATACGTTTCATGTGAATAAGGTAAGTTTCTAGAGTCGAGTACCATCATCTGGAATGCACAATGTAAAGTATCGGATTTAACTTAGTTTCTGTATAATGTCGATCGGTCGGTCCGCCGGCCCGGCCGGCTTCGGCGGGAATAGCGCTCGCTGTCGGGTTGTGCAAAGTGGTGTATATCATCTACTTTACAAACGAGGCATACAAAGATGTGGGTTTTCCGTGACAAGCTGTGTGTGCGTAGTTAATAAGTAAGTCGAAGCTCGGAGGATGCCCGCACCTTTGCATTGCGTTTCAACCGTAGCGTAAGTTTAAACAAACAGTCGATGCGTTACCCCCTTAGCTGATCGAAGCCGACGAGCCCCGCTTCGGCTCGGCTGAAAACCCTACGGCGCTCGAACAAGATTAGCGAAAAAAGGTAAAATAGATAAAATTGTAAGTAATTTAGTGTTGCAAATTTTGCAGGTCACTCACCTCCCTGGTCGTCTAGAGCGACCAGAGTTCGAATGCCGGCCTCCTTGCTCTAGACCAGCGGCAGAAACAAAAAGTCAGAGCATGTTAGTTGTGAGGGGTACAGTAGAGTGAGTGGCGTGCCGCCGGCCGTCCTCGGCACGGCGTGCGGCCGTCACGTGCGTGTCTCACTGTCATGTATTTATTGCTTGCCTTGCCTTACGCTAGTGTCGCGAGCGGGAAGACACCTTCAGAACGCACGTGTACCCTTACTCATTCACAAATATACTAATAATGTTTCTGTAGATGTCTTTTTGTTATCTGGAAAGTGTCATGAAGTAATTCTGATTCTGTATTGTGTTCAATACAATATATTTGATACAATGTTGAGAGTTCGGCCATTTGAGTTATATAACTATTAACAAAAATATTAATAACATAACATGTAAGAATATAATAATAACAACACAAAGGAATAAAAATAAATAAAGTATCAAATAAAAGATAATGATGATACAAAAATAGAATGTTTTTGTAAATAATAATGAAAATAATATTGTTTTGTATTTGTGGTGAGAGTTGCATTCAGGTGTAGCTCGATATATCTGTTGGAGTCAAGTGGTAGGTCCATGGTGTGTATCGCCCACATACTGACAGTATTGTGAATGTTCGAGAAGGCATGAAAATCATATAACATAAGATAACAGTCAACAACAGACAGCAGCCACTACACAGAGACCTACGATACAGAGACAACTAGAAAAAAGGATAGTATTTAACCTCAATAGACATTTAGTTTATAACATTGTGACATTATTCAATTTAAAGTGATAAAGAGATATATTTAAAAAGAAATCAGATATAAGAGATTTGACAATGTTTCCATTTAAGGTTTTAAAAGAAGAGAAAGATAGAGTGCGTTAGAAAGTGATTTTAGCCAGAGTGGCGGATTTCTTTCATTAAGAGAATTTCTTTTGGTCAAGGTTTCATTTCGAAAGCAAGCCCAAGCATAACAAAACAAGATTGAGAAATGTAAGCAAACATTTTCAGGTCATATTGATATGCGCTAAGGGGTATGCTATCTGAGAAGTATATGGTCTATCTATTCGTGGGACGCTTTCTATATTGCAATGGGCTCATGCTATGGAAACAATAACGGCTGGTTTGGACAAATAACTTTCTGGAGTTGACAGTTAACTTATTATCTTAATATTAAAATCATCCATGCTGTTTATTAATTTATATAATTTGGTATAATTAACTGTCAACGCCGAGGACCAGTAGGTCGGGGAACACTCAACAACATAAACATCGCTACAACACAAAGGGCTAGAAAGATATCTAACATATTTGGAAACATTTAGGCACGGATCATGCAACACCCATTTACGTATGGTTATAAACAAATACACATAATAAGGCAAAAAGGGATTGAACAAAAACAAAACAAAAGTTTGGGATGGGAGAACTACTAAAAGAAATAAAAATGACCACATATGTAGCAACATCGAAACACAACAGCCAGGGTAGCGGAGGCTGCGCCCTAAGGGGTCGAGGGACGGGCGTATCTGACCGAGCTGGGGGACTATCCAGGACACTTCCGCTATACCCCTCACTCCCTCGCATCGAGAACACCTCTCTCACAGATAACAAATAATCACATAACCAACGGAACAACTCAACATAAATACTTAAACTATGAGAGAAACATAAAGTTATTAAAATCGACACACGCCACTCGACGTGTCCCAATTCATTAAGGTAACAGTAATGACAAATGGGGACTCTCTCCAGTATACATTATGTTGGACGCTTTGAACAGTCAATTATTATTACAAATAACATATTATCAAAACATAATTAGACACATTTTAATTTGAATTAATATAATTATTAAACAATATAATCTAAATATTAGTTACTCAATATAAATTGTGATAGAATTTAATTTTAATTATTTCATTTTAACAATTCAAATTCAGAAAATTAAATATTAATTTTGAAATTATTTGCAATTTATTATATCAATATTCTCAATTCAATATAATTTATTTAAAATGACCATAATTAAATTTTAGTTTATTTGAAATTTGAATAATGTTTTTAATTATGTTCATTTTATCGTTCGTATATTTAAAAAAAAACGGCGAATATAATATCAAAGTTGTCTTACCTCCTCACATAGTTGCATCATGCGGCGTGTCGACTCCAACGACTGAAATTGTTAAAATAATATATTAAAGTAAATAAAATCTATATTCTCTATAATATTGTCTAATGCTAGACAGTAAAAAGGGCCTTTTTTAATCCTGGCACATCTTTTTTATTTTTGATACAACTATTACCATTCCTTCGATCCCCAGAATCTGAAAAAGTCTGAGAAATACAAAAAAAACAAATATCACATTAAGTGACTCCTTTAGTCAATAACAAAAAAGCATAGTATAAACGAAGAATCAATCCATTAGATCAAAAGTCTGCATCTCATTAGAGGTTCGTATTGTGAGGTCGTGGTACCAAACCGGCCTACTTTAACATCAACCATGTGTGAAGTATAAATGAATGCTGACCTCATCTGTGACCTGACCGGCTCGCATCTGCAGCTGCTCGAGCTCGCTGCGTGGCACGCCATTTTCTGGGGGTGCGGCTGAAGGCATCCTGGAATCAGTAATATTGGTATTATAAAAAATGTGTTATATTCTAAGTCGCATCGGTTAAGATGGATTATAAATCAGTATAGGCTGTAGTGTAATGATTAGAACCAATCAGACCTTAACATAATTTCATCTCGAAACGAAGATAACAAAATGTTTGTATTTAGTTGTTCCAGGTAATATCCGAAACATTAGGGCCGATATTAACAGAGAGGTAGGTGATGACGTATGAGAGAATATTATAGGCTATTTTTTTTAATCTGTGCTGACGATAGCAAAACTGCAAGTATAAAATAAACTTTGAAAGCTCACTCGTGTGCTTATAACTATATGGGACAATAGAGTCGCGCATTTCTCGACCTAATTAGGACTTAAAATATGAAAAACAGGACATTTACTACGCATAATATAAGAGTGACAGTGGCAGAGTGAGTATAAAACAAAAGTTTTTTATTTTTTAAAGCAGCTTTTGATTAATAAAACGACAACAAAGGTACACTTATAAACATTTCTTTAGCTGTGGAATATTTAGACTTTTTAAAAAAGTTACAGATTTATGTCTAAAGTATTTATTCATTATATAATCTTATGCCGAGTTTACATTATTCCAGTCCAATTCGCACAGTTTTCACTGGACTGGAATAATGTAAACTGGGCATTACACAAACAAATTTAATTTGTTTAAAAAAAATAACCATAATGTAGAGTTTACGACATTGAGTCCAAAGCGTAATTGTTACCTAGAATCTTTTATAAAAAATATTATAAATATCAAAACACAGTTTCAGTATAGAAAGTAACGAGGCGTTCATACATAAATGACGTGGCAGCGGACGTTGGCGCATTATGAATCCAGCTGCGGGAAAACTTTTGTTAAACTACCCGCTTTCAATTGCACGGATTTTAATCTTGGAAAATCTTTCGCCTACATTCTCTACCAACAAGAAAAGTTGTTCTATTACTTTCTTTCAAAATGTATTGCTAAAAATACTTATCGGATTGGAAATACATAAGCTTATATGAATATAACAAATAACTCACCAATAGTTAAATATAGTACCAAAATATTACATTTGAAAAACGTAACTTAAAATACGATGCTTAAGTATAAAATTCTATGTAGTCTAGATAGGATAGATTTTGTATCGTGAACGTAAGTCAATTATAATGATGATAATAAATAACGCGTGACCAACCAACATGAACGAATACGTCAATACATAGATGAGCAAAAAGCGAGAGAATGGACATTTCATTGGGTTTTCACTTTCTTTGTAATTCAGGAATATGGATTATTAGCCTGCGACACCGTCCGCGCGGAATAAAAAAAAACTTGATTAGTAGCCTATGTGTTCTTCCAGGCTATGTTCTACATCCTAGCCAAATATCAGCGAAATCCAAGCAGCCGTTCCGGATTTAAACCACTTTTACATTACGATTTGATTGATTGTTTTATACTATGCTTTGGGTATAGTCCTAAGTAAGATCTCTCGTTAACGTTTATTTGAAAGTGGATTACAAAAAGTAAAACTTAGCAAAAACTATAATCTCTGAGAGCACATTTGTTCAAGTAATTATAGTAGATGAAAGGTTGAATGTATTCAGAGCTCTCACGTACACACGTCACTGCTTTCTATAAAATCATACAAACACCTGATGTGAATTAGATTATCCATTGATGCTGGATACACGAATACGTTGCATATCGCTATCTAGAGATTAAGAACACAAATCAGTATCTTCCACTGCCATAAAATTAATTGGCTCGATGGACGAGTCATTTTATATTCATAATTTATTCAGGAAGAATCTTACAGGGTCTACAAGGACTTTAATTGAAATTCTATCCGCTTAAAAACGCGATATTGATGACAGATTATCCACTTTTAAAGTGTAACTTGTATCAGACATTTAGAGGGACCATAGTACGTTTTTGCAAGTATGATACTACGAAGCCATGGTTATCATAGTAATAGTTCAAGGTCAGTCTGAGTAAACAAAAATAAAGATGCGGTTTAATTAATCGCTGAGGCAAGCCGTAACTCGTGGACTCGTGTTTTTCAAACAAAAGAGTTACGTAAGCCGCAACGTTGAGCGGAGGTGGGTGTTGGCCTTGATGGACGGGGGTGGGACTGGAGGGTGGTTTGCCTCGCCCCAGCGCTACGTGACAGGACTATTATAAGTACAATTTCAACGTACATTGCAATTACTTCAACTGTATTGTTATACAAATGAATTAATTTAATAATAATGATATACATCGGTATGGATATCGTTTTCTAACGTTATTATTTTTATAGTGTGGGAGCACTGGCTTAAGGGGAAGGAAATAACAATCATTATTGATGGTTTATCTAAAACTAGGTGTCGCTCACTACTCCATCCGCGCGGAATTAAAACTAAACTTTATAAGTAACTTATGTGTTCTTCCAGACTATGTTCTACATCTAAGAAAAATTTCAACAAGATCCATGCACCTTCAAACAAAAATCCATCCATCTAAACATTCGCATTTATAATATTAATAAGGAGTAAGATGTTATTTGGTAAAATGTATTTGATATAAAATTCTTAACAAAGTTAGTCTCGTCTCAAGTAGACGGTTCAATGTATGACACCTCGTAAAATCGCTCGTCGGGGTTGTTGACTTACGAAATATGAGTTCAAAGATACCATCCACTTTACTAATATTTAGCTGCTATTTCACTATAGTCTAAAATATTAAAGTAAATTGGTTTCACAAACGAATGAAAATCTAAATAACACGTCTTATCTTTAAAAATGTTAAGTACAAAATAATTATTTCTGTCTTGAAACAGTTTTTTTTGTAAAATTTTAGTATTATAGATATTTATTAATTTACTTTCATTTCTTGTGACCATTTCAACTAAGCTGTAGGATTGTTTACAAGACGAGACAATAGTGTCTTGATTAGAACCCTCGACGATTCAATCGGTTCGTACTCTTAACCTTTACGCTATTGCTATAATGTAATTTAATTAAACAGTTACATGTGACATTAAACACCTGATAACATGCGAAGCATTACGATACGTCACTTATGTAAGTATTTATGTATATTTATAGCTGTTGCCCGCGACTCCGTTCGCGCAGAAAATTAAAGAAACCTTCTTCCGGATTACATTCTACATCTATGCCAAATTTCAGCGAGATCCGTGCAGCTGTTCTGGAGATCCACCAATCCAAACATTCGCATTTATAATATGAGTAAGAAGTTAGAAAACATTGGGAAACGATCAGCGGGTCATCCATGTACATTCGCAATAAGTAAGACAGCCATACAACATAACCGTACTCCAATCTGCTTTAAAATTCTGTAGTGCTGAATACTTTAAACATAAAGCACTCACTAACCAGAGACAATTATTTCCTAACAACGAAATCGTATTAAAAACGAGAGGAGAATGTCCCTATCACTAGATAGCGAAAGCTATTGCATAGAGTAGACGACGTTCGAGAAATTGCTGCAATTGGCAGATGAAGAAATGGAACTTTTGACCTTTTCTCATTCCACCATTTGTAATAGATTTGTCGAGCTACGTAGACAGCTGTAAAATTAATTTTCTTCAAGATAAGACAACCACTTTAAATGTCGTTAATCTTGTTACTTTATTTTACTATTCGAATTGACTATAATCGATTAAGTTTTTTTATTATCTTATTACATTTATTTTTCTGTTCGGAACACAATTCCTTGTAGGAAAATAAACATGATTTATGATAGAACAGTGTTTACTTAACTGCGTAGGCTTGAATTTGATAGAATTGTACACTTTATCGCATGCATCGGCTGCAAACGTTTTTTTTTTAAATATTTGTTGTAGTAAACATTATTTTCTGGTTTACTCAATTATCGTTGGTTTCTTAGACAAAAATTCCTATTTAAAACACTATTGATAACACTGTTTTTAAGGTTCCGTACCTCATAGGAAAAAAACGTCTGCCTGTCAAGACCCTTTTTCTTAAAAACGCGTGAAGATATCAAGCTGGAATTTATTTTCAAAGATATGTGAGGAATGACGATATCTTTTCAGAGATTTTGGGCTCAGGAGTCAACGATTAATCATTTTTTAATCCCATAAAAGACTCTTTGACGTCAACATTCATTTTGCCGTTCAGTAACGAGTATTAATGATAAAAAGTACAAAAATCTTCTTAACTTTTGCTCATGAAAGGAATATCTATATCTAGCTTTAAAATTGTGTTAAGTGTTTTCGTATGTTTTAGAGCTTAATTACCTTAAGGTCATGTGAACTAACATTAACCTTGAGGCTATTAATAAGTTAAAAGGTGGATTATAAAGCGGGCTTTTCTTTACCCTAGGCGGCCTTCTCGGCCAAGTAATTTATATAAATAACGATCTTGTTAACTCAGCGAAAATTAATTACTTGACCCGTGAAAGGTGAAGCACTTGGTAATTAAAGGCCGTGGTAAAATGTTAGGGTTAGTTTATAAACAGAAAGTAGGTCAATATTGAAGACAAAGTTTAAAATGGTTTCTATCAATCAGAGGAAGCCATTCAAATCAAAATATTGATGAGTCTAAAATTTCTAATTTGTGAGAAAAAAAAACACAATTAAATTGGTATTTAAATTACATTTTTGATTCGTAAATCGTACAACTTATTTTTGAACAAGTTTTTCGGTTTCGGAATCAGTTGAAAAAAGTCATTGTTAAACGTTAAAATCCATAAATATGGAACCGAATAAACATAGTTATGGAAAGCAAAAGTTGAACCGTGGCTAAGCTGAGTTGTTAAATTTGAATAAGGCATGCAAAATGTACTGCTGCCATGCTATATCGCGCTGTGTGCCGACCTTTGAATTTTAATGAATTCTGAACAAGGCAGGATCCATTAATACTGAGCTGATTTATTTTATCTGATTTAGACTTGATAGTTTACGTAGGCTCTATATGAAGGTTATAGATAAAGTTTTTGTTATAAATTCATAATGAAAAAAACACGACATTAAACTCTTCAAG